AATTTATTTTTATATTAAATGAACAATATAATATCTTCCTTCCAGTTTCAATAAGTTTGTAAATAAATATTATTACTTTAATAAGTTACAATTTTGGAAAAATTACAATAATGCTTTTATTACTAAACATATATAGATATACAGATTGTAAATATTATATAAGCGTACACAATGTCAGTAATATGGTCTAAAGGTCCCCAGCTGTCAGATTCTTATCATATTTTCCTTTCACGGACATACATTTCATAGGGAATATAATTTCAGAATTCCGTAATAGATATTTATAATTAAAAAATCTAGGAATGAAATTCAAATACCGAATGAGATATTTTATATAAAATTTTTCATTGCTGTATTTAATATCGAAAATTTTAATGAAATTAAAATGTATTTAATGTTGAAGATTTTAATGAAATTAAAATGTGATGAACATGAACTGAAGGAAGAATTTGGTTATTTTAAATTATCATTTTATTATTTTGTCGATCTTTTTTTACCAAGAAAGATATAATTCACCAATAATGTTAAAATTCGTATCTGCCGTAGTACTTAATCAGGTTACTAAATATAGATTATATAATTAGGTATCTATGTTTGCATATTAATAATGTGAATATAAAACGGTGATGAAATATGAGGAGAAAATTAATAATAATAAAAAAATTAAATATGTCAATTAAAATTTGTATGTGTTGAAGATAATCACTATGAAATTTCGTATACCACGCCATCTTCAACTGAACTGCTTCGTCAAAGGACGACACTGTTCAGTTGAGAGTAAAAAAAGTAAAAATATACAGTTGACAATTCTGACAATCGGTCATTATTATTGTATTTGTTGAAATTCATCTTCATACATTCTTAATGTAACGCGGAAGCTGTAAATAATAAATTGTAGAAGAAGACTATACTATTGGTACATCTTTCTCGTTTAATTTGACATAAGTTTGAGACATGTCTCGTCATAGAGACGTACGGTGTATGAATTATTCCGAAGGTATGTTTAACTTGAATTTTTATTTAAATAAACTTCTTAATTCATTTAACGTCATATATTTATTCATTAAGGTTACATATTTTTTTTATAGAGTATGAAAATTATGATGATGTTTATGGACATTCTGTTGAAGATGACTACTGCGTTTCTCCTAGTGGTAAGGTTACTATATTAATTAGTTAAATTTGTCTTTTATTTTAAAATATTATCTAATTGCTATACAAAAATGCATCATTAATCATTATAAAACATTACTTACAGCAGAACAATTTTTGTTTGATCGGAGTAAACAACAGAATATTGCATCGTTTATTATGGAACCAGATATAGTAGAAGATAATGAGGATGGTGAAGAACCTACACATTCCAATGAAGAAGTCATAGTTCTTACAGATTTAGAAAAGGTTAATCTTATGTCGTGTATGGAAACTATTAAGAATATTATAGGAGACACGATACCTGATTCTGAGATAAAGAAAAAAATTATTCAATCCAATTTTAATGCTGAGGCAGCATTAGATTCCGTTCTAAAAGAATCTTCTCCAAAGAATGTTACACGTATGTAAATTATAAACTTAGTTTTTTTATTTAAATAACTGAAACATCATATGTATAATTAAATTTTTAGAACCATCTACAATTGCTAAGGATACTGTAGAACATTACCCAGGTATGTAATGTATTCATATTATCTAACAGTTAAAAAAATGGAGTAAAAATTAAATACTTCATTTCTAGAACTGTTTTCTTTTTTCTGTTTTATGTGCTGTTTTTGAATCGATCGGTAAGGTAAGATGCTACATCCATTAATCGTCAATCTTGTTCGTTTAGCATACCAAAATTATCATTCCAAAAGCAGAACAGTATTCAAAATAGCCCGTCAACATTTTCATCTTTATCTGAATTAATAACGAATCATGCTAAATTAACATCAGATACTGAAAAAGAATTTCAAACGAATTCAAATACAGTGTCATTCAGTTCATTAGCAGATCTAACAGCATATCATTTACAAAGGTCAAATAACTCTGACAATACAAATTCTAATGAAAGAACATTTTCATCTAGTACAAATTTTGTTATACCAAAATTGTCAATTAAAAAAGATAAGAGTAATGATTTAAATAGTACAAAATTAGATTTAGCTACTGTTCACATAAATGCTAGTACACACTTAGATTTAATAAATGATAAAAGAGATGGTTATTCTATGGATTCGCTTGAAAGGAGTATATCCACTGTGCTTGCTTTTTCGGAAAATTGTGGCAATAATGACAGTTCATATAATATAGAGGCAAAAGAAGATTTATCAGTGAATGTAAATTGTACTCGAACGCCATCACCAGATACTTGCTTGATAGATTTGAGTTCTGCTTTGAAAGCAGCCTCTTTAGTTTCAAATGAATGTAATCTTGAAAAGCCAAGAATGTCGAAGAACGTTGATATTGTCGTTCCCCATACAAAATTACATAGTTGCAATCAAAATAATGATGAAATTCCATATGTACTTCTTCCTACGACTTTAAATTTAAGTTGTTTAAAAAATATTGAGCTTACATATGCAAAAAAGAATGTTTCATTATTTGGTAGAACATTGTGTAAAAGATGGAAATTAAAGAAACCAATTCTTAAATCATATAAACAACTTCATACCATAAAACGGTTTGATTTTTCAGCCCCATATACTAAAAAATAACAAAATATTAATTTAGTATTGAAGAAATCAATCTTCAAATTATATTATAGGAAGAATAAATTTTAAGGGCAGATTTTACATGTTAAAGTGAAATGAAATTTATGAATAATAAAATTAAAGTTTCAATTTAATTTTCAAATTATTTATAATTTTTTATGAAGTAAAATAATTTCGTAGAAAAGTATTTACTTTTTTACTATTGTAATTATAATTTCATGCACAGTCTTACAGTTAATATAGTGTTAATATGATTTATTAAGTAAATATTTGTCAGTACTTGGAAACTAGGCGGAATTTGATAAATAAAGTTTGTTAGAGAAGGACACATGAAGACAAATCACATTTTTAAGAAAAGTATTGTTCTTTCCTTGACCTGACTCACGTATTGTTATTAATGGACATTCAATTGTTAATAACTTGAAATTGAAACGAAAACCATTATTTCTTTATATGTATTCATTTTATTTTGATACATAGAATCGTCCCTTAAAATTTGTTTAATTTGTTTGCACCTTATGTATTATACTGTATTAGGTATAAAATTGTGGTATAAAGTATGACTTTTGAATATAATTTTTAGGAGTGTAGATATTAGGAGTGCAATCATAAATTGTACATTTTTTATAAGTTTACAAAATCAAGAAAAAATTCTGATTATATTGAAAGTGTGAGGTAAAATTAAGTAACATATTAACTAATGACTATTTTATTGATGTAATTGTGTTTAATAAAACACTAACTTTATGTAAAGTTTTAAGATAGAACATTAATAGATATTTATAATAAAAATATACTTCGAATATTTCTTAGTATACGATTTTATAATAATTTTTATATATTTGTTCTTGTATTTAATAATGAAAAAATTACGATAAATTATGTGAAAGGTAAAAAATTGCCATCCAAATCCACATTTCAACCTACAACATCTTCAAATGTGAAAATCATCCCTGCTGGAAAACGACCTGTAGTAAAGGGTTTCTATTTAAGTGGAGCAGAAAATGCAGATCAGTTAAATCCGCGGATTGACAGTCCTCGGTCTCAAAGTCCGTTTGCTGATCCTAATAGTCCAGAAATTAGAAGAAAGGAGCATAATCCAAAGGACAAAAATATAATTTCTTCACGTACGAATAGTCCACGATGTCAGTCTCCTGTATTAGCATCTGACTTAGATTCCAAAGTAAAAACCAGTGAAGAACAAGTTGATGCTTTAAAAGTATATAAAAGTAAAAGAGGAGATAGCAAAGAACAGTTACATTTAGTAGTTGTTGGACATGTAGATGCAGGTAAAAGTACTTTATTGGGAAGACTTCTGTGCGACTTAGGGCAAGTTTCATCAAGATTGATTCACAAATACCAACAAGAAAGCAAGAAGATAGGAAAACAATCATTTGCTTATGCCTGGGTTTTGGATGAAACAGGAGAAGAACGGTGATTATAATTTATAATATAATCGAATTAATTAAATTACTCTTTAGTAAAAGTTCATAATGTCTTATCCTCTAACTGAATTAAAATTACTCGTTAAGTGTTTTACATACTCATTTAATATGTATTTTAGAGAAGGTAATTATATTAATATGTAATTTTTTAGAGAACGTGGAATAACAATGGATATTGGTCACTCTAAGTTTGAGACAAAAACAAAGTCCATTACCTTATTAGATGCACCTGGTCATAAGGATTTTATACCAAATATGATTATTGGTGCTACTCAAGCAGATGTAGCTTTATTGGTAGTAGATGCTACAAGAGGAGAATTTGAAACTGGTTTTGATAGCGGAGGTCAAACTAGAGAACACGCATTATTATTGCGTTCGTTAGGTATTATAATTTACGTTTATATTTATAATCTGTATTTCTATATTCCATATATTTCTAAATAATTGATTATTTTAGGTGTATCACAATTAGCTGTAGTAGTAAACAAGTTAGATACAGTAAATTGGTCGAAAGATAGATTCGATGAAATAGTCGACAAAATGAGTACGTTTTTGAAGCAAGCTGGATTTAAAGATAATGTTGTCTTTGTTCCTTGTAGTGGTTTATCGGGTGAAAATATTATAACGAAACCTAAGGAAGCTTTATCTAATTGGTATATTTGTTGTTGATGAAGTTAAAGATATTTAAGATATTATAATCAATAAAATAATATATTTTACTAATACAGGTATACAGGACCTACTCTAGTCAGCGTTATTGATAATTTCAAGTGTCCTGAGCGTCCTATAAATAAACCATTTCGGTTATCGGTTAATGACATATTTAAAGGTACTGGATCTGGATTTTGTGTTTCTGGGCACATGGAAACTGGTATGGTATCAATAGGTGATAAAATTTTAGTACTACCAGGAAATGAAATTGCAGTTGTCAAAGGTATTAACCAAATATAAATGATTACAAAATATGGTTCTTCCTTATATATGTGAGAAGGCAGGTGTGAACGTGATGTGAAGATGGACGAGTATGGACGAGTATGGACGAGTATGAACGTAGTATGAACGTAGTGAAAAGATAGCAAGTATAAATAGAGTGAAGATGACTGATGACCATGACGTGCCGCATTGACGTTCGAGAGCGGCAAGTTCAAAGAGAAAACCGTCAAAAAGAGAAATTGCGGGAAAGGTCTGGAATGTAGGAGAATGTTCAGGAAGGTTCGGTTGAGATCAGCTTTCGGTTCGGAAGTGATAAAAGAACGAGCGGCACGTCCGTGGCATCAGTCAATTATGAAATGCCGAATGCCGATGTAACCTCGTCCATTTGAAATTAAAAAATCCTTACATATACTTGCTTCGAAACAAATTATTAAATGAAATTTCAGGTTTACAAGTAGACGAGGTCTCCGCAACAAATGCATTTGCTGGAGATCATGTCGCTTTAACATTATCAGGAATTGAACAACAAAATGTGGGAATTGGAGATATTATTTGTAATCCTCAAAATCCAGTTCCTGTAACAACATGCTTTCAAGCGCATGTGGTTGTATTTGCAGTTAAAATTCCAATTGTGAAAGGTCTTCCAGTAATAATGCATCAACAATCCTTGGTACAGCCAGTTGTGATTACAAAATTAGTGGCTTTACTTCATAGAACTACCGGTGAGATAACAAAAAAGAAACCACGTTGCTTATTAAAAAATTCAAGTGCTATTATTGAAATTACTACACAAAATCCAGTCTGTATGGAATTGTACAAGGATATCAAGCAACTGGGTAGAGTGATGTTAAGGGTAGAAGGAACAACTATTGCAGCTGGACTTGTTACAAAACTTAAGACATAATAAAATAATTGCTCTGTATATTGAAAGACCTAGTGCCATGGAAACATGGCAGTTATATTTACATATTGTTGAAATTATATAAAATTTACTATAACAATTGTGTTTCTGTTAATTTATGTAAACAGATGTATATACAAATTCATTTGCTACTAAATACTCACTTCTTTTTTTAGCCAGTGTGTAACTTGTAAAATTCTTAAGATAACAAACTGACTAATTTGTTTAATAAAATTGTTGTTTCAAATTTTTAGTTTATTTATTACATGGATTTACATGTACAGCACATGATATATTTTAATCATTATAATATATTTTTTTTAATCTAATTATGATGATTATATAAATTCTTAAAGGTATTATCAACATTTACATTATAAATAGTTCTTATAGATTTACTTTAACCACCGCAACTGCTGCACCCACCAAACGGAATGTCTACATTAACTCTTGCGTCAGGTCTTAATCTACGCATTGGTTGATATGGTGGCCTATATATAATATACAGATAAATACCAGTTTCATTTTGAACCTCTTATACAAATATAAAAAACAGTTATTATTATTTAAATCTGAACATTTCTATAGTTAAATAGATATATTGTAAGATATATTAAATAGATATTCTGTAACTAAATTATTGCTCTCTTACCCAGATCCAGGTCTGAAATCTCTTGTATGAGAACTTCCATAGCTGCTAGTGTTAGGATTGATCATTGTTTTGAAACTGTAATAAATTCAAATAATTAATTTTATATATACTTTACAGAATAAAATCAACATAAGAATAAACACAAGTTACTTACAACATAACAATCATATAAATTATACCACTAAAGAAACCAAACAATCTTTTCAAACTCCATGGTGTACTGTCTAAAACTTGTCCATCTAAAAATTATTCAACAATAAACGTATGTAAATAAATTTCATATATGTATATTTATTACGTGTATACATGTGAGGTTAAAATCCTTACCATTCGATATATAAACCATAATTTAAACCTTTCTCATACAACAACTTTTTCAATAAACACTTTAATCGATAGAACTAAACATTTAGTCAAATCACGTTTTAATAAACAACGTTTTTGTATATTCTACAGGTGCCCAAGCTTTTCTTATAGCGTTCACAACACCACGTCAGATTTAATGTTGACTGCGTAATATATATCTATACAACTTCATGACGTTACACAAAACTATACTTTCCATTTATGAAAGAACAGCTCTTGGATATAGTCCGCTTCTGATAGTGTATTTCGGTGGGGAGCCAACTGTGTGGCAGAACGTCGCAGCGCACCGTGCAAACGTTGTTACATTATGAGACAGGGCATGGTGTCCTTTTCTCTCCTTTAGACGGAGTGTTATTCTTTCAATGATACAATAAAGTATGTTTCTACATTTATCAAAGATATTTTACGTCTCGACGTTTAGAACTTTTAACAATGTTTTTTATTTTAAAAGATATTAATCATATACAGTTCGTTCTTCTTTTAAATTGATCAGAAAAAATGGAACTTTTTGAGAAAATTATAGTTTCAGTTTTAACATTACTTCTGAATAATATAACGATAAATAAATTTTTATTTTATCTATTTCGTTTTCAAGATCGGTAACGTTTGTTTGTCACATCGGTAACATTTATCTATCAGTTTGAGCGTTTCGCCATGGATGTCGCTACCAATCAAAAGTGCAGATTTTCGGAGGCAGATAATTCTTGCCGCTATATGTATTATATACTATGCACAGAACCGCAAGAATTATTCATTGTATTGGAAAGCTTATATACTATACTGAAATGAAAAAGGAAATTTCACAAAACTAATGTTGCCTTTCTTCAGACATCAACTGTCGGTCAATATCAAAGAAAACATTGTAACACAGAGCTAACTGAAATTTTTTAACCGAAAAAAATTATTTTATCGTTAACAACATAAATTCGAAAAGATCACAGTTAGATGGGAACTATTTTTCTAATAAAAACAAGCCTAAGCACGCTATAAATTGGATAATCAAGTCAAATAAATCATTAAAAAGTTTTAACTCAGTAATAAAGCTTCTGCGCGATTCAGTAAGAGTGTGCAATTCATACGTATATGAAATATTATAAACTATATTTAATATTTTCAAAAGAACAGTTAATAGAATGAAAAAATATCAATTTTATAATATGTTTTTATATTACACATGAAAAATAATTTGCTAACTTTATTTTGTTTCCTTTTCATTTGTGTTTTCATTTAATTTACATTAACAGGTATGGGTTGAATATGTACGCAGGACACATGTAACAAGTCTGAGCATTTAAGTATAAATGGCATAAAAATTTTTAACATACATGTACATCTTATTATTTTTAATAGATTAATTATATGGCTACAAAAGACTTTTCTACGGAAAAATGTAGTAATTAGATAAAACTAACTAAACAAACGAAGATTGCATCATATTCACCGATTCTTAAATAAATATAAATCAGAGTATAGCATAATGTCCAACTTCGACATGAACTAATTTTCTGTGTGCATGCGTTTATATATAATATTGCTGTAAGTAGGTCAAATTACATAAAAACAATGAAAATTTCAAATTATTTTAATTTATATTAGAATGATACTACTGCTTTTCTGTTTATTGAAAAATATCGAATAACTTTTTTCGCCTGAGAGTTTAATTTAGTGAACTTAGTGCAGTATTGGACTTTGTTTTTAAAACTAGTTTTTATAAAGATTCTATTGTTTCTAATAGGCAATTTTATTCAAATCCTTACCTGTGAATTATTTTGAAAATATGTTTGAACATACTTAATACAATACAACCAATTAACAAATTGAGTCAATTATCAGAAAATGAAACGTTGATTTTAGATGCTTCTGATGTCATTGTTCAAGAACTAAATTCGTTTGTTTGAAAACAGCGATTTTAAAAAAGCTTTTGGATACTATATTTATTTTGAAAATTAAATATTGACGACGAAAAATGGAATTCATTTCGACCACAAAAAAATGAATAATATTTATGTTTAATTTATTATTAATATTATATGATATATTAATTATTAATATTAATAATTCAATTAAAATAGTGGATTGACTGCAAGTTAACACTGTCATAAAAAAAAAGAAAGAAAACGAATTCGAAATTATGGCTACGAATTTTTATTATGGGGCAAGGGATTGAACTGAATAAAATTTGAAACTCGCGACATAAATCTTTTTCCAGGTCGCTTATGACACTTCAATATTGAGCGAAGTGTGTAAAAAGTCAGTTAAGCAACGGTATTGCCAACAGGATTGCGTAAGCAGACTACTTGACACTGTAAGATGAAACACGTTCAATTGCTTTTTGATAATTTATGCAGGACTTGAAGTACGTCCCTTCATGGCCAATGCGGTTATGTAAATATGTATTAAAGTGGACGAGCATACTTAATTATACTTAGCCATAGACCGCGTGAGAGACATCCCAAAATTGAAAGTAACCATAAATTACCACATGTAAACTTCTTAGTCTTGACCTTGGATCGCTCTAATCGATTTTAGCAACATCAACTATTTACGACTTCCCTTTTGGTTCGAATCAAAGAACCTTTCGAAACAAATCCTTCATCATTACCCGCGAACATGTCGAACATTAATACAATAATGATTCAATGTTAATGATAATTTGTTAACGATAAAGTCATCTTTATGCGTGCTTGTCCAATTTAATCTAAATAAATACTCAAATATGAAGATAATTAATGATTTCGTAGTGCGCGCGAGAAAAGGACAATCATTTTTACGATTTCTACGTTCCTTATGAAACAAACTTCTTTCTCTCCGTGTGTGTATTTATTGCGAAGCGATTTATTTCAATTTATAGATCGATTATTCGTTAAATACTTTCTCACGAACGTTCGCGGTCAGTCACACCTTTAAGCGGAATAAACAGCGTTCACTTCGTGAAACGTTTGGTCAATTATATTTTATTAAGTGAGGAACTATCGAAGGATGTTATTAATGTTATCCAGTTGATTGTAACGTACCGAACGTTCCGTAGTACAATTTACTTAGGAAAAGGTTTAATAAGTTACAGTTCAGTGGTCATTGTTATGAAAATGGAAGTACAAATGGAGTATTACAATCTAGTGGTCGGAAAGTGTCGAATTAATTAACTAAAGCAGCTTTCGATTTCTGTTCGCGCGCTACAACCTTAACCCAGAGTCCGCCTTGCGCTCTGATCGTCATTCGGAATTTCGGTTTCACTTCCTCTTTCCCTGGGATCGATTGTAATCGGCACCTCCGAAGAATCGAGCTGACCAAGGATTTCATTTCCAGCATCGCGAACTTGTACCCTGTGAACGGTCCGATAAATCGATTTCTTTAGATAAGTTCACTATAAAATATAATTATAGAAAAGAGCAAATCTTTTATTTCCTATGAATATAACCAGTTTCTACATTTTCATTATTTTTTAAATTCATTTTTCTGTTATTAATGGATTGGTAAAATAATTTTAGTTATTAATCGATAAAAGTAACGTATTTTTGTAATACGTATTTAGTATTCTTAGGCAGTGTGTTAGTATATTTAGGCAGATATAACTTCGTAATTAATACCCGATTTCGTAAATTCGTCTATGAAAATGCAAATCTGCATGAACATACATGACCCAATGTAAAGAATGCTTTCTACAAAGTAACTTTACCGATGCAGTTTCTGGGTCCAGCGCTGAAAGGTAAGTAAGCGTATGGATGTCTCTTCCCGCAATTTTCTAGACTGAAGCGTTCGGGTTTGAACGCTTCTGGATCCGGATAATGATGTGGTAAACGGTGCGTGCAATATGGCGACATGATAACGCCACAGCCTGCTGGTATCACGTATTTTCCTGCATATTTCAAATGAATGTTAAACAATAATATATTTAATATTATATCATTAAAGGTTGATTTGTTATTAGTTGAGTAGTTCAAATTAATACTGGTCTAATTACTATTTCTAAATCGTCGAATAAAAAAGCTTTCGTGAAATGTTCTGGGATTAATTGAATACTAATATAACAATGACATTAGTAATATTTATTGTTATTAATTACTAATGTTAGCAATTACAATGTCATTGGTAACGTTAATTATCGTTAATTATTAATATAAGTAATTACAATATTATTATCAACATAAATTATTATTAATCATCAATATTAATGTTTAATCAATCCAATAACATTTCATAAGAGCTTTTTCTCTCCAGAACTCAGAAACACTAATTTAACCACTATTAGTCTGAACTACTCACTAGTTTACATAACCATATGCATAATATAATTTATACCGTTGAATTGAAACAGAAATTTCATTACACCAACTCAATACACTGAATACACAATAAACCATTAAATATTCACTTACCAATCTTTACATCTTCACCGAGTATCCTCCCTATAAGCGGCACACTAGGGTAAAGCCTGAGGGCCTCTTTGATGCACATTTCCAGGCACTTCATTTCCTTCAAGTCCTTAATGGTCGGCATCCTCGAGTCTTTATTGAAAATTGCGTCCAGCTCCTCAATGCATTTCTCTTGCCACTCGGGATGATTAGCCAAAAGGAACATCGTCATCGCTGTCGCAGTGCCAACCGAGTCTTGACCGGCCAACATGAACGTGCAACACTCTTCGACGATGTCTTCGTCGCTGAAGCAAGGATTCCTCTCGTTCATCTCCACCATGTACTCCAACAACGAGATCCTCTTTGCACCCTGTGATTCGTCGTTACTCACGGCACCCTTGTTGTACATTTGATCGCGCTTCTCCTGCATCATCCTGAAGCACGTGTCGAAAAGGTCCTTTCGTTGCTTCTCTTCTTGCCTGCCGAACTTCGTCAATCGGTAAATCCATTCGATCAACAACCAAGGCCTGACCAGACGATACAAAAGCATGATCTGTCCCCTAAAACAGAGATAGGGATCCGGAGATTTACATTCTAGTGTCGAAAACTGGCTGCTTTTGGAATTCTAATTATAGAAATGTTCACGTCAGTAAAGTTCAATAGAAACGTATATCTATAGACTCACTTTCTGAATGGTAGATCGTCCGTGTCCTGCGCGTGCCGGCTTGCTCGTTTGATCCCCAGAACCGTCTCTGTGAACAATTAATAATAATTTCGTACGTCGAGAAGAGATTTTTCGTTTCTTTCTTTCGTTTTATCGTTGCTAACACTTTTACATAATACTTATATACTTATTAACAATTATTAACAATATTTCATAAAATATCAAAATACACGCATTTAACAATTTTTCGCTTAAACATTTTTATAAGAAATCCTTTTTATCATATAATATTTATCTATCTAAAAGGTTAAATCTTAGCAATCCAGTAAGCCTTCGTATACGAACTAACTAGATGCAACTATATAGTATATAATATTATATTTTCGAAAATTATTAAAATCGAAAGAACAATTTTTAAACAACTTTCTATGATCATTTAACAGGCAAACTACAGGGAATGAAGTCGTTAATCATTACGCAATAAAATAAACACTTTCGATTCTGTATGTAAATCAATTCGAAAATGCGTCCATCAGATGATATTGATTCATTGAGGCTTAAATGGTTTTATTGTGTTCCGCGTAAAGTATTGTGTTAAGAGACGTTTCATTGTTACGGTCAGACGGAAACTAAGTACATACGATTGATTATGGATTCATATGTTAATTGATATTGAAAGCCAGATATTGCGGAATTTCCTGTAAAAAACGGTCAGCATGTATCGGAGGTTCAAAACCTGAGCGGATTTCCGAATGGCACGGCCGGACAATAGATTTACTACGCGTTTTTAACAACAAAATAGACGAACGGCAGCGCGTTATTGACATGTTAACGAAACTGAGTCGCTCGAAACATTGTGTATACGTGTAGAACAAGGAATCTCGGTGTTCGGCGTTTCGACACGACATAACGGGTCACATGTGATTTGCGTAATTCGGAAGAAATTTAATGTACTGTATCGCTAATCAGCTGTGTTTATATGAAACGTATATTAAATGCAAATTTCTGACGATAAATTCATTCGCGTAGATGGGCAAATACTCCCGCGTGTCGAAATGCTTAAAACGTCCAGAGCAATAGACAACATTTCAGAAACTGAAAATCATGGTACATAAATTCTCATATTTTAAAGTATTGGAAGATCATAGATCTTGATACTGCTCATCATTTTTACACTTTGCGATGCTAGAATTGAATTGTATTCGGTTTAACTTCTTAAATACGTGTTATTTCAGAAGTATTTATATGTTTAAATCAATTTTTTATGTTTAGTATCATAGTATATTTTGAACTAATAAATAGTTGCTTTGTAATGTTAACAATAAATATTTCTATCATTCTGTTATTCTATTTATATTATTCTATTCAATCCCTTAAAATGATCGTTGCGATTTCTCTGGCGTTTCCACTAAGCTAGTAAAAGATTACCAAATGGAAAAGTAATCACTAGTGCAATTAATAACAACTAACAATAATAAGAATTGCTAGACAATTTTTTATTCAATAAAAAATAAGATTATTACACATTTTTTAAAAAATATGAATGTGTATCTGTTAAAGAAAAAATATTAAAGCAGTTTGAAAATTGATTCGATCAGAAGTTACGATTTTTTCCTCGAAAGCGCATACACGCGAAACACTGTGACGCTTGTGTAAACTGACCACAATTATTTCCCATAAGTTGCATAAAGGTTACATGACTTGAGCGAACAAAATATTGACGCTCTTAGCCATACATCGAGTGCATTTACGTGCAACGAATAACTTGAAAAAAAGAACATCTGTGCTTAATGTGCTTCTGTCGTTGCTGAATACTTAATATTCGAATAATTAGAATTGAATAGGAGAGGCACAAATAATGAAGATTATTCACTGGAATTGTACCGTATTCGATTCGACAAATTAATCACGTTTTATAGGTATTTGCGGGGAGAGTACCGATTAATTATTTAAATGCATCATGCGTATACAAGCATTTAAACTTAAGATCACTTGACTAGAATAAGAATTTATTTCTAAGTATATAAACTGATTCACTTAATAATAATTTACAGGGAAACGGTATTTGTTTCGATATTTAAACTGAATCTGAAAAACGGTAATTAATTCGATTAAATCGTTATCTTGTACATATTTCTTTATTCAGATTCGGGAAACAGTCATTATTCAATTTTCAAGTTCATAATTGTTCTGCATGAAACGAACAATCGTTTGTTTCATTAATTATTAAAATTGTTTATGATTAATATTATTAATTATTATTATTAATAGTTATTATTACTAATTAATGTTATTCTTTAATTATTTACATAATTGTCTTTATGGTATTTACTTACCACTTAAAATATCGTAAACGGAATCGTTGACGAACGTGGTAATATTAATTTCCTCGTTATCCCTCTCGTGGAACTCGTTCATCAGACGATCCGCGCATTCCGCGAACGTTAGCGTGAACTTCTCGAGAATGTTTAGGTGAAACGCCGGTTGCAAGAACTTCCGGTGCATCCGCCATGTGTCCACGTCCCTGGTGATCAAACCCTTTCCGAGGAAATTGTCTAACAATTTATAGAAAAACACTTTTTGCGTGTGCTTCATACTGCTGAGGACTACTTGGATGTCTTCTGGCTCGGGCAGCATCACGTACGGTAACCCTGTCAGCCATATCCTGACGATGCGCCCATAAGTTTGGCTCTCGTATCCCAGCCTGTGAAGCACTGAAACCAATGTGATATTTTGCCAATTTGATTGATAATTTGATGTCAAACCTTTTAATTTGGTGGACGGTTAACTCTCATATTTGCAGTTTTTAATTTGCTTCTATACAATTTATAAAAATTTATGAAAATTTGAAGAAGTGTGACAAAGCTTCGAATTTCAGTTTTTATAAAAATATTGTAGTTACAAACATTTACACAAAAATATTACAACGATAATATTTGTAAGCTTGAAGAAACATAAACAATTCGTTTGCTAACATCAGGTTTAATTGATGAATGGTTACTTAGAGTAACCAGTAACTTAATCTTTGAAAGTATTATTGATTGAAAAAGGTTTCCTAAGAAGGGGCAATTGTTACTATTTTTATTATCAGTGAATCGATTAAAATTTTATTGTAATACTCGTAGATGATATAACTTTTAATTAAAGTTTAATTTTAAATTGTAAATTATGTATGATAAAGTATTCTGTAAAAATGAAAAAATTCTTACGTTTTTTAAGATGAAAATGTTGGTTACTTACGATTATCTTTGATAACGCAACCCGCATTTCCTAAGAATGGTACGGTTTTCGGGCCACTGAGACGCAACACGAAATAGACGCACCTAATGTAGCTCTTCAGGATGTATAAGATGTAAACGATCGCTATGATTACGAGGTATGCCCATACCCCACCTGGCGTTTGGTCCCACTGATACAATAAAAACAACAATTTTGGTTCATATCAAGTATCATTCCATCGAAACGCTAAAATTATATTTCAATTTTTTTAAGATATAAATTGTGTTATTACTATTCAGAGCAAAGTCGTTGAGAGGATGAGTAAATTAATTCTAATGAAACTGCGATTATTAATAACCCAACTTTCATTATATAATTAACTAATAAAACATGTTTATAATATATTAATGTATAATATTTACAAGACAGAAGGAAGACAAGGAAAAACAAGAAATAAAAAATAAAGACTTAATCAGAAATAAACTCATTTGGCACTCATTAATTAAGAAGATAGTCTACATTTTATAAACAGAATTGGTTCACCACGTTTCACCAGAACACTGCTGTTAACACTTCCAAAAAAAGTCACTTATTAACACCTGTAATCGATGTCTTCGAAAGCGTACACACACTTACTCCATCATTATTGAATAAGCATTTCTGTCAAGAAAACGTTGTTTCGCGATCATTAGCGTGTCTAGACACCGTACACATCGAATGTTCCGAGAATAAAAGTGCTAAATTATAATGATGTATGCACTTCAAATGAATATTACCAAAATTTCTTTAACCAAATTGCCCTTATTATCAGAATCAATATTCACCGATTAACATTGTACATAATTTACTTAACTTATCCCTATTAATAAGCAACTCATTAAAGACGGTAAAGTATTCATACGATTCACACGATCCCATTAAACACTCAAAAAAGAACATAAACAGGAATCTTGATTCATTTGGTAGTAAATTCCGCGGAGGCCATACATTAATTATTCTAAACGAATTTTTTATTAATTGGTGCGTTGAAATGTGCTACCCAAACGTAAATGCTAATCGAATAATAATTAAACGAGGTTCATTGGCCAATAGTACATTCGATACTGATAATAACAAGTGAAACTGTTAAACCAATAAAAGTCTTGATAATATATATCACACAAACTATATACATTATTATATTATACTATATATATACTACATATATTATATTACATATAAATAACATATATTTTATTAAACTTTACGTCACTTTATTTTATTCAGATGTTTATTGCCACAGCACACTAATTTCTCCACAACAAAGGCATCACAATACCGATATCTTTAATTAGTATGGTGTACCAATTTATTAAAATTACAACCGTCAAATATTTTTTCCAATCATTCCCGAAACATCGCACAGACGTGAATGATATTATGCCACTTACTATTTGTTGCACAGTAAGAACCATAGTCACCGAAAATTTTCCCGCGCAACCACGCCGAAACGGTTTTTAAGCAAAATATTTTAGAGCCGCCACACAGAACTCAGCCGTGTCCACACAGATACATCTTATTTAAGCGTTTGCTCCCACCAGATACCGGCGTAGACCACTCAAGACATGTTCGAAGTCCATGACGAGTAAGTAAGTACTTAGAATTTGTCACGTCTTACCATCAACAGCAACGTGAACATTTTCATCCCTCATTTTCAGTAAATTTTACTTAACCATGCGCGTTTTAATCGTTTATCGACGACGTCGACGATCACGCTGATCCATAAAATTCAACTTTTTTTTTGCCACAGAAAGTTTAATAATCTTAATAGTATTTCTCATGTAGAATTCGAATATGTAATCCGTTTTTCTCTATCATTCACAGTTTTTGAGAAAATCAATTTTGAATAAAAAACTCAGTTTTTCAACTTTGAACATTCGTTGTGTCTTAATTATGGAAATTTTTCGAACTCTTCTCACACAGCATTATTGTATGGACCTTGTTGAACACAATGATGTAAGTTTCAATGACATTATAAACATTTAAACATGTTTAAGCAATGCTGAAAGGCAAAGTGGCTCCGGAGACGTACTGATTTTTGTGGATATTTTTCAATTTGTCTGAAAAACTAAGCGTCTAGGAGAAAATCTAATTTCAGCGTGCGATAGATTAGACATCTAGCTTGTGAAATCCGTTGAAAAAAGTTTCATAGCATATTTCGTTTTCAATTGAGAATGAAAAATATTTGCACAAAACATAAAGTTTATCTATGTAGTACATGTGTTAGCCTACTTTACTTAGATATTCGGATTACTTACATACTCATATTCTCTTACTTATATATCATTTTACAACAAATCTTACATAAGTTTAATAAGATCAATAATATGAGAACCGATAATACTAGTAACAGTGCAACTGATAATGCAATCTTTATAATTGTAACAGATCACACTGATCTATAAAATGTGACCTTGTTTTTGCCATAGAATGGTTTAACTCTTTCGCTACGACGCGTCGTAGACTGACGATTGTAGTCACTCTCTCGACAAATGTTCAAAGTTGGAAAATTGAGTTTTCCATCAAAATTTGTTTTTCTCAAAATCTGTGGGTAGTAAAGAAAAATGGATTGTACATTCGAATTCAGCATAAGAAATACTATTGAAAGCTCTCATTAAACCTTCTGTGGCAAAAATCGTGTTGACCAGTATTATTAATACACCAATCGTTCCGATGTTTTCAGCTTGTTGGTATAATGAATTGAAAAGTAGAGATTCCACTTCGAAGAAACCGGCATAAAGGCAAAAAGGTTGCAGTAAAAAATGTTCACGGTAGTTGAAAAATACGCGGTGCGTGAACAAAGATCTCGTAAATAGAGATTGATTTTTTCTCGACGTAAACATGCGGACCTTCAAAGAAAACTCGCCGTGCAACCGCAGATGCACTCAACATTTACATTCATTAATTTTAGTTACCGTAGACATTGTTTGTTTGGAAACAGTATTACACGCGAAGAAAAATACGACACGACGCGATGGGACGAAACCGTTTTGTTTTGGTATGTCTATTAAAGAAGTAAATATGGATACCACTTTTTATTTTTGGAACGTTCAATAGGATGACTCATGGACGACTTCGTTTTCCCTGATGTTTAATCATATTCGGGTATTGGTGACAATTTATGATTCTGCTAGATAATAATTTTGCTTGTTAATGAGATTACCTCGCGATTTCTGCGTATCCTAGTGATTGTTCCTGTGTTAACAGTCAATATTCACGTGGAATGTTCTTCTTTTTCTTTATTTTAAATAATTTACATTTTTATTTAATATTACCTATTTACTTACTCCTGTCCACGCGATGTTATTTTTAGAGAACAAGAATTTTCTGTATCTTAAGGATTAATCTTTATTCTTCGAAAATATTCTGAATTTTTTATTCAATTTGCATTTCGTACATCTTGTTACCAGTGACAACTGGACAACTTTGTAACAACTATAGTTTCGTATTTGCATAGAGATTAATTTTGTGCTAATTTTAATTAGATGTCGTAACGCTGATATTCGAGATATCAACAACTCCTGTTAGATATTTCCATTTCATAAACAAGTTCAGTATTAACCTACCAAATTAATGTTAGGAAATGCTTTAACACTAGAACTAGCGAGCACTCAAACTTACTTTTGAAAATTTTTTTATGAAAACTACAAACGTGGATTTATTAAGATTTCAATTGGCTCATATTTCATATTTGTTTAGGTATTATTAAATCAGTGTCATTGATCATTTTTCAAAGAAGTATCTGTACCGTTACTGCAATTGTAAAAGAAGCATTTAGGAATTAGTCATTTTATTCTACCTGGTAGTTCTAGTGTTAATTCCACTGTAGCATGCGCCATTTATTTACGTAAGTGATTGACTCGGCAAAACGAAAAGTAGGAACATTCTATGAGATTATACGTGAAGAGCAATCAAATGTGTCAACACCAAAAATGTGAAAACATTGAAAAAGTGGAGTTAGTTAATTTGACCTTTCTCTTTTTACACAGTGGAAATCATTGAAAGATGCTTCCCCGTGAATAACTTAGTACCAGACTTTTATGTACATTTTATCTATACATGTATACAGTGTTCATAATATTACAAATAAATCCAACAAAAAATGGATCACGAAGCAATGATTCTCACCTTTAGGAACACCATAGGGATACCATAGCACCCTGAATTCTAACGAACACCTCTTCACCTGCGATTCAAACTATCGGTCAACTAAACCTTCTCTGGCGAGTAGTTGAAGTTTATATAGGTGTTACGAGAAGTACGAGGCGTTTTACGAGGCCTATTAACGAGCAGTTCACAATCGAATCACGTATCAGCTATATGTGCAGGCGTGCTTTATAAAATATCGTTCCCTCGGCTCAGCTTCTGGGAGGCGGTCACCAAAGATAATGCTCCGTGCGCATCCTTCCCGTCAGGGTCGGCAACGGAGTAAAGAACCTCGAAAAAACTTTTGCCCGGTGAATAACTTATCGTTGTAGCTACGCCGCTAATTAGTGGGCAATTCTTCCAACACATTCGTTCAGAAATGTTGCTCGAAGAACGGACTCAAGCGAAGTTTGTCCGTTATTTTCGCGAAATGAAAAATGAAATGAAAATGATCGATTTTAAAATATCATTTCAAATTCTGCGTTTCTTTTCGTTCAGTTCACTTCATATCAATTTCCGGATTGACCGATTAATTAGCTTCTCAATTTTTGTCTTTCTTATTGTTCCTATTTCCACTAAGGAAAATTTGTCATCGGACTTGTTTACCTTTATTTTGTAACCAGTTGTTTGATGAGTTACGGTACTTACCTATGAGTTACGGTAGGGATAGGTATATACAAAATGCTGGTACAGTTAGTGTCAAAGTACTAAATTAAAATTGAAATTAATGTTGTATAATATCACGCAGTGCACTCGTTTCACATGTTTCTAGAATACCTTTGTAAATAAACAACATTTGTGCCGCGATCGGGCAGCGGAGTCGCATTGACTCACGTCTGCCATTACGTGTTTCACGGCTCATCGTCGACAAGACGCTGCTAACAGTGTTTATTGACAACGAAAATTATGACGCTTCTTACGATTGTCTTTATCGAATGTTATTGGTCGAACGCGTTATGGTTTTTTCGTCAAATCGTACACGAATTCTTCGAAGACCTTCAGGAATTTCGTGATAAACAGGTTCGTTGAAGTATCCATCTTTTGACTTTTTCACCAGGAAAATTTATATTACACCGCTTCATTGGTTTAATTAAAAATAGAAATATGCGAGGCCAGCAAGTTTTTTCGAGATAATAATATCGAAGATGAAAACAGAAATTCTGAATGCAAATTTGCGGTAGAATGGAATTGGAGTGTGGAACGCGCAGTATCGTGAAGACTGACAGACTTTGTTTCGACGATATAACTTGGAATCGTGCCATCTACTTTACAATCCTCATTTGTTGTGTTCGTTCGTTAAAATTCCATTATTAGCAAAGCACTAGTTAGGGGGTGTTGACGGATAACGCGTATACAATGCTTTCACAATTTTTTCACGTTCATTATTTATGGTTTTCTCTATTTTGTGTAACTTTGGGTGTTTACTTTGGTAGTCCGTAGATTTTATTAAAAAAGCTGAGAGAATTGAAAATGACTATCACTTGACTCGACAAGGTGAAAAGCCTTGCACTTGACAATGTGTAGTATTGCATCCGTATTTTCGCATTTATGCAGCTCTTTGCGGTTTCATTGTTATCACAGTGGCAAGGATCAGTGAATTAGGACAAAGACGAAATAACTTCTACTACTTTTGAGTTTCTTCAGTTTGCATCTGTTGGATTTAAAGAAAGTAAAAAATGAAAATGAAAGTCATAAACTATCTGCATGCGTTAATGGAAAATTTGCTTCTTTTCATTCAATTCTTTTATTTCCTTTACTGTATTAATTTTTTTGTTTCATTATTTTATCTGTATTATTAATTTCCCTCGTAAAATTCTATATTTATAAGAATGCAGAAGGAATGTTCAAGTTAGTAATACAACAAATCGATTTTTAATTCAGAAAGTATTTATTATTTCATTACTTTCAATTTAGTAATTTCAAGTTTTACAAATTTCATGATTAAAAATGATAAGCAATAAGTGCAATATGGAAGTGAAATTATCTGACGAGTAATTAAGTTTGCTGATTGACTACTATTCCATGAGAAGATGACGCTTTTATCAGTCCTGGATTTCTGGATCGGTAAGGTAGAAAACTTTAGGCATGAACACCAATAAGGTGTTTCATTTTATCATAGATGATAACAAGTATATTTCATAACAGGACATTATCAACTGAGCAGTGAAATGCACATCGTGTAAAATTTAAACTGCAAATTTTTATTCGTTATAAGGTGATAATACGTTTATACATTAATTTATTAACATTGTCGTTCCAGTATTATTGTTATTTCATTCTACACAATGACACATAGAAATAAGGGTTAAAGTTCATTTTAAATATTAAAATTTGAAATTTCCGTTCGATTTTAAAGTATGTTCATGTTAATGTAATATTTGTAATTTTGTAATTTTTTCAAGGCAGCACTTTCTCATTCGTTCCATATACAATCATTAAACTAAAAGTGTTCATGCAAATTCTAGTTCCCATTATTGAAATATCGTTAAATATCGAATGTAAATTTTATGAACTGTATTAAACTTGTCATGTTACTGTGTCTTGCACAATCATTTTCGCCGTGAATTCAATAGTAATATCCATAAAAAATCAATTTAAGATTTCTCTACATATTGAAAGTTTAGGTTGTACGAATGCGAATGTTTTGTAACGTGTAATTTAATATGTTGCTGAAAAAAATTGAAAGTTCGCAACTATTAACCGCGGAATGCCAATTTCCACACATCCGAATAAAGAAATCTTGGTAATACGATTACAATCGATCCTTGAATCAAAGAGTCCTTGCGTTGCCAGTATGATCCATTCACTAATGATACAGTAGTCCTTGTTACATTCAAGAACATTAGAGATAGTCGTTACCAATATGCACGATACAGTTAGAACGGACGATTTTTAAAAGAATTCAAGACGCACTTCCTGTAGGAAATGACACTAAAATGGTGGAAGCACTGTTTCATAACCGACCTGCTGATTTAAAAATATTTGTAATTCCGCATAAGAAGAATACGAAATGAACCCAGTTCCTCATGACACAGTATCAACCCGAGAAATCGCAATAGAATTAATTACAAAAAGGTTAAAAGCAAGAAGGAGTGTACACATACATTATTCTTTGTTTCACAGTCGACCGTAATAGCAAAAAGCTTAAGTCACTAAATACAATGTTTATTTATCTTTACTAAATGCAGTATGTTTATAAAACATTTGTATAAAATGTACATATTTAAAAAACAAATGTGTTTTTACAACGTGTATACAGTCACAAAAGACATTTTATAAATGAAGTAACAAAGACAATCGATTTCTATGATATATTGTATAGTAGTGTTGAACAAAAGAAATTCGATTGCACTTTGCTATTGCATCACTGCAAGAAAATGTGCTGATTTGTAAGAATATGAATCGTTTCAAATTATTAATTATATTTAAATGATAAGAGATAAATATACATCTTTCTTATCGCGTGCAACGTCAAACATTATTCTACACATACCTTTCCCATTTCATTGTTTTTTTCGCACAGTGTCAATGAATATTAAGAAGAAAATTATTTGATTACGCCTGATACTTGTATCAATTAATTGAAGCAAAATTAACGCTGATTATCCACAAATACATACTGACACTAACTGTGCCAATTATCGTACAGGATTAACCAAATTTCATACGTAATAAAATACACGAAAATATAATAATATAATACATGTATTATATTATATATAATATATATTATATTAATATTAATATAATTTTATTATAATAATATATATACATATTTATAATACTGTTTCATAAAATGTTTTATCACTCTTGTATATTTCCGCGCAATTAAAAAATTGTATGATAAAAAGATAAAACTAATCTATTCCTACAACTTTCACATTTTTTTTCTTACTTGGTATTACAGCGGAAATTCAAAAAATTCCTAACACAAATATATATTCTGTGATTACTTTTTTGCGTAAGTACATTGTAGTAAAGTAAGTTTTGATTCATTTCATCGATAAATAGTTGGTATTTCTCAGAAACACCTAGCTTACAAAATACGTGATTTTATTAAAATTTTAAACTGTAATCAATTTCAATAATGAAATTATTCTATTCGTTTCATTAAAACTTCACCCTTATTGATGACGTAAGCAAATAGAATCAATATCGGAAAAACAAATAATTTGTAGAAGAAGCAAAGAAATTTAGTTTGCCGTTAATTGCAGTTCAGTGAAATGTTTCATAGAGTATTTCAATACATATTTTCATTGTTAATTTTTTTAATGTGATGAATTTTTAGTGAAAGCAAAGGAATGTATGCATTGAGCATTGAATAATATAAAAATATTGTTAGTAATTTTTTTAAAACAATTAAAAATTAGGTTGATACAATTATTCTAATGTGTATTTGTTGAGACACTTTTAACCGCTAAAATTGAAATTGTAAAATAGTTAGACGATGAAACAGTTTGAAAACATCCTTTCACCTTGCATTATGCACTGACCAATTGTTTGAACTTCTAAGCATTCCCGCGGTTTGGTTTCAGGGCTGTATGAAAATAATTCAACGAACGTTTCTTATGATAGAATTTTTTTATTTTTAAAATTCAATATTAGTAAAATAAATTGTATATAATTTATATAATGTTAAAAGCTTATATTTCGAGGAAAACTTCTTTGAAAGTTTTAAACTTTCTTATAAATTAAATGTTTAACCAATTCTAGAATATTAAAAAATTTAAATAAACCCTTCCGAGAGAAAGACTTTCAAGAATATTTTTAGCTTACATTGTTTCTAATGAAAAAATTACTAAAAGTACTTCAAAACATTACTGTTATATAATTTAAATGAACACGTATCTCAATTTTATAAAATAAATTATATTTAATAAAAATAATACGGCTGGGTTCATCATAGTACGAAAATCCTATAAATATAAATCATTACACACTGTGCGATCTTGTGCAGAATAATGATTCACCCTCGAATATAATACAGAAGTCACTGACGTAATTTCTAAAATTTAGAACCAAACAGAAATTTCCTTACACAACAGAAAGTTCCACTAAAAGTGTCGATTATCAAATTTTTTCTTTTTCAACATACATTGAGACGTGACTCAGCAACTTCTAATTATTCAGAAAATTCCTTCAAAACAAACATTACACAATATCAATGACCACAAGGAGATAGTTTGTGTCTGATCACCTCATATTTTTATCGAAGTATTCCTATCAGCTTCCCATTGGGAATCCCGATATTTTTTCCCGAATTTGGATAAAGCATCAAGCAGACATCGTAAACAAGATGTTATGCTAAACAGGAGTAATCAAATGATTAGTCTAAATATTATTGTGCCATAAATTTCTCTTTGAGTAAGGTTGTAACTTTTAATCTGGCAGAAGTTATGCGACGATAGCATTATGAGTAAGCTGACCGGAATGATGCAACTAAAAATCAGGACACAGGATGTGGAGACTGAAGAAGAAAAAAAGAAAATGGACTACGAAGAAGTAAGGGATTCTTCTATTTCTACATTCTTCGCTAGAAGGGTAGAACCCTTTTTGGCTGTTGCTTGTGTAGTTTAGACGAATTCTAAAAAATTAGTCACCCTAATTATTAGATTACTGGAAATGTAAATGAAGATTAGAATTTTCAGAATACTAGAAAGATAATAAATAAAGACCCATGTTTGTTAAAATGTTTTTAATTGTTTTGAGTATTACATGTTTTTAAAAACTGGCGTCAATTTTTAAGTAATCTGTATACGTATTTGTTTTATAAAACCTCTATAAATCAAATTTTTATTTATTAACATTAAAACAGCTAGTATATTGGTTGATTCTATCGACAAATATTGGTGTACTAACATACCCCATATACAGATGCTTTAAGGTAAAAGTGTTTGACACAAACTAATTTGGCATATGTAGTTACTCCTGTATTTCGATAAAAGTCAACATAAATCCCAATAAAACAACCTTAATAACATTTCCAATATAAAACCAAAAATGTTAAATCCTTTCAACGAATTTAGTTCATCTATTCCATCTCCAAAAAATTTGAAAATTTGACATCCAATACTAAATATCGTACGACATATTAGTCCTAGAAATATTCCATCAAAACATTTCTACATATTCGGAATTCCTAAATCTAAAATATAATTTAAAACATTCTCAAATACATCTGTTCTTTAATCTCCGTATGATTTCCTTACGCGTTTCAGTTGTATGAAGTGCCATCGATATTTATCAGAAAGTGGTAAACATTTCTAGTCTAGACTGTTAAGAAAACTCATTAATATAGAGTCTCCACGATCAAGGAATATTCGCCTTCCTTCCTGACTCGACTTATCGATGTCCGACGTAAGTGTACCCACTATCGCCGGGTTAGCACGCGGGCCGACCTAGAAACCGTTGCGTCCCTGACGGAGCCTTTTCACTGGGCCGACGCAGCGCGGCGCCGTCCCCGCCGACGGCAACGACATCGCAGCGATCAACGCTGTTGAAACTCAGTTACGCTTTATCAGCCGAGCAGTAAAGCGAGATAGGGAGTGGAGGCGCGCGGTTTCGAACTTGTCTTCGTGCCACCTCTGTCCTGTCAACAGCTCGTCGCCGCATCCCCCGAGCCGCCTCGTCAACGAGCCATTTCAGTCTAACACGAAACCACCGAACGGGAAAGGAGAACACGAGAGACCCAGCTCTTCGTCGTCCCGACGCAACGCTTCAGACCCGCTTTTTATTGATCGTCCCGCTCGAGCCGAAAAGGCCACACTGCTGAAGGGTAGCTCGGGAATCCCGGAAATCCGCGAAGATGGCGAATGATATTTACTACCCCAACTCGGAGCTAGCGAAGAACGCCTATTGCGGCAGCTTCAAACGCTACAAAGAGATGCACGAGAAGTGAGTGTGTTTTAATCGAAGTCATTGGGGTTGCTAGGGGGTTGCTAGGGGTTGCTGCTGGTCATAGCAGGATCGTAGATAGTGCGTATTTTCATCTTGGGATTGGGGATTTTTTGGGTAGAGGCTTTTTCGGAGTTAAGGATTTTTAGTTCTGTTGGGAACTGGTTTTGTTGGAGCCTTTCTTCTGGTAGGTAGATTTGAACGGTGCCCTTCTGTGTTAGAGGGTCGAGGGTTGAATCAATAATTTTGGTTGAGAAACGTTACCAGCTCACCTGGAGACCTCCTCGAAGCTGACAGTAGCGAGTTGATTATTGTTTATTGTTGGTTATTAATTATTGATTTGTTTTGGTTAGGAAGGATTAAGATAGGGGTGGTAGCTTAATGTAATGGTAGTTTAGTGGTAGCTTAATTTAGGTCATTAGATGAAGGGAGATTAGTTTTGGAAAGAATTTAGCGAGTTTCTTTTATAATATATGATATATACTCAAAATATAGTTTATTGTTAGGTATATTAATGCATTAACTGTTAGGGATAAACATTCAGCCAAGTTGAAAAGAAAAAGATTTAGTGACTTCACTTTATAAATACGTTTAAAATATAATTCCTTGTTTGTTATATTAACCCATGTATCATTTATTAAAGTAGAACACCTGTTTCAAGGGTGATCTATATATCCCTCCGGTTCGTGCAAATACTTTCAAGAGCGACTATACGTCGCTGTAAAACGTAAAGTATATTTCTCACGGCACAACTTGAACTGTTGAATAAAATTTCAATTTTAAACGATCATTGTTGGAAAATCAATGCTATTTAGTTCTTGGAACGGATAGGGAAAAAATGTCGCAGGCTGAATGTTGAAGCGTTGTTCCCATTGAAAATCTTTACCAAAGAATAAGCGACAAGCAGGAAATACTTTTCTGCTGAATTGGAATCACTCGATGGTCCATTTCGGACTATTGAACCCTTGACCTATGTTACGGATCGTAGGAAGTGCTTTTATGAGAAGTGGGAAATCAAAGGTCATGCTGCTAGGGAAATTGCGGAAGGGGACAATAGAGTAGGGTGAACGACGACGAATGGGGGTCTGGCAATAATCGTGGGCGAATTGTCGAGCGTGTTTATTAAGTGCATTCCCTTGCCGCTCGTTAACACTTTCCTAAGGGAAGCTCGTTATGTGGGAGGCAAGAGGGTGCGATTCAGGGTATATTCATTCCGGGGCGCATCTCGTGTGCGAGGTCACGTTTCAAAAATTGGGTCTCTGATTCTACGGTATACAGAGTAGAATTTTTCCTTTTCGAAAATAAAAAGTTGAATTCTTTGAATTTATTTTCATGAATTACAATAAATGGAATTGTTAGGTTTTGAAGGTAAAGAGTGTTATAAATTGCAATATGTAGAGTTTGAGTTTAAATAGAAAAGTACTGGGTTTCGTTGAATTTATTTTCATGAATTATAATACATAGAATCTTAACTTTTGGAAGAAACAAACTTTGAATTCGACTGCATGAATTTCAATGCATAGAATTCTTTTTTCGACCAAAGGACCTATAATTCTATTGAACTTAATTACTTTCATGAATCTCGAGCAGAGAATATGTTAATAAATTCAATGTTTCACAGTTTTAACCAGCTATTAAGCTCGTCTGCAGTCATAAAATTGATCGTAGGAGATTTTTTATAGTCCACCGCAACTTGGCTGAGTTTCAATGAATACCCTATTTCTTTTACCAACTTATCAAGAATCGTCGTACACATTCAAGACTTAAGTTATTTATTAGTTATTAAACACTATTGCTTTATTGCTACGATTAATGTTACATTTAATCAATTTTGTAAAACAAATGTAGATAAGGGTTCTACTATCATGTAAATCTGTAATGTCATTGGTGCCTATTATGGAAATAGAACAATGATATCGATTACTTTAGCCGGTTGCTACAATATATACTCTCTGTCTATCTCGAGAACCTAAAATTCAAATAGACGATTTTTTCACTGTTTTCATCGATCTATCCCAGTATAAAGACTTTCATAATTAAAGAAAATAGATATTAAACGACACACAGTTATTACAATAATTGAACTAGAAAAACGTACCACGCACGTCGAGATGTTTTTGTTCCAACATTGTCAATTGTCTTATACACATTGATAGTTTTGTTACATTACACGTATTAGATTGTTTGGAATATATCACTTTATACAAATTATTAATAAACAAAATTACATATACACGTACAATACGTAAAAAAAGTTATTCACACAATACTTTGCCTTTCTGAATTTATTTCCAGCACCAAAAGTTAATCAATTAATCTTTAAGCGCATCAATTAATTATAACGTTGAATAAGAGTTATTTCGTAGTTAATAAATATTCGTACATTAATTTAGTTAAGCCACTGTTAACAGTGAGTTCATCGAACTCTTTTTTCTTTTCACGATACCAAGTTTACAAAGCATTTCCCTTTAAACGTGTTTTACAGATCAGTGAAGAATCCAGCGGAGTTCTGGGGCGAAATATCGAAGCAATTTTATTGGGAAACACCGGCGCTCGAAGACAAGTTCTTCTCGTATAATTTCCATCTGGGAAAAGGAGACATTTTCATTAAATGGATGCAAGGCGCATCAACTAATATAAGCTTCAATTTGTTGGACAAGAACGTCAAGACCGGAAACGGAGATAAAATCGCATTTTACTGGTAAGAATGCCCGATTTGAAATTCAAGTGTTACCATTATGGAAATAGAAATGTCTAGGTTGAGTTTTCTGTATTTAAATTAATACAAATTGCAGAAAAAATATCTATATAATATAAGAATTTCTAATATAATATGATAATTTCTAATATCATATAATATAATATAATATAACAGCATAATAATTTCATTTCACTAAACAAAGATTTTTCCCCTTTTCGATGTTTCAATAAACAATAATTCGTTAACGTGCGCATTCAGAATTTCTTGGTAAGATTGTTGCGAACAATATTTGCTTGGTATTACGAAATTATCTTTAAATTTAGTGACTGCAAATACCATTCAAAAATTTATTTAGTCGTAAGGTACTGAGTTTTTTCGCGTAAACATATATCTTTGTCATATCTTTCTTATAAATATGAAAATACGAGTACGCAAATAGCATGTAAAAATATGAATATGAAAATGAAATATAAACATGAAAACAGGTCAACATCGAATATATCTTGTTTGAAATGACTACTGATAAGTATAGAAATTTTTAATTGCCAATAGTTCCTAGAAGTGTATCAATGTTGACTACTTATACACGTATGTTATTACTTAACTAGAACTCTTCATAAAAATAACTCGTAACATTTCCACTTTGTCGCCGTATATCATTATCTGGTATCTAATATTATTATCCAACCTTCAACTAATTTTATTCATTCGTAATTTTACAATTCTTCGTGAGTTATACGATAAATTGCAGAATGCTGCCAATCGTTTGTCAGTACGATACCATTCAAATGAATAGATTTGTGAATTAGTTGAACAGATTTATAATCAATTGGTTATTTTACAAGTAACGATTTAAAAAAACCTTTTAAGAAGGAAATGCAGCGGGCGTCTTATTGCCTTCGTAAACAACATCATTTGTTTACAGACGCAAGTCATTGGAGCGTTGTGGTATAAGCATTAAAATTTTGTTCTCACTTGCATTACGTTACGGGTCGCTTTGCAATCGCGATTTCAATGAAACAGGATTTCATGGAATTCATGAACGCCGCAGTTTAAACATGCCTCCCTTAATTCATTTTTCAAATTACAATATTTAATATTTAATTAATGCTCAAGTCCAAACATTTAACATATTCTTGAAAATGATCATTATTACGAACGCATTTACCTTATACATATGTGTAGTTGTACTTTTATATCAATTTATTTATTTGCAAAATATTATTTTTTCGAAGTTCGTTAAACAAGAATTCCATGATAGATGTTTGTTAAACCAAGCGTAAGAAACAATATTTGCATTCAAATAAAGTAACCCATTGAATATTATTGTTTAAACGTATACACTTTAAAAAATATAACATAGAAATTAATCGATAAAAATGGATAATTTTATTCATTTACTATTATAATAATTTCATATCTTTATTTTCATACTTTATACGAGAAAGAAAATTTGACGATACCTTTATAATGCTATTAGATTTATTTGATTATTATTTTAATATTCTTCTTCTTCTTCTTCTTTTATTATTATTGTATTATTATTATTATTTTGTTATTCTAATAAAACAAACATGAGGATAGGAAGTTCTGAGAGAATCCTAAACATCCGATCGTCGACCTTCTACGACACACTTTTGCTCATTTGGTCGTGTCGTATGATGCTCCATGATTCGTCAAAAATTTGGCATACCGTTGACGAAAGCATTCCTATTGGTCGCACTCACATGGTTCGATCGCGTTAGATCACGTGGGGAATGCGTAGATTTCTAAGAGCATGTCCAACACGTGGAAATGAAATATCGCGCGCGCCCGACTGCGTTCACTCGTCAAGTGTTTTTATTATTCGAATGAATTGACGTAATGACAACCTGTTCCCGATGATACCATGCTAATAAAGTTCAATGTTTCTCTCATTTTGCCTCCAATAAAATATACGAATGTAAATATATAACGTAAATATTTATATTACGACAATTTCTTTTCGAGGACAGATACCGCAGCAGGCACGTTACATAAAATTGAACTTTACACGTTACATCGGTTTTTAATATAAAGACAAAGTCTAGCGGTCGTTGCGCGCAACACAATTTTTTCTAGTCTTTAACTTTTAACCCGTTAACCAGATATGACGAGATATTACGCCGGGAAGAAAATTTCAATGGGTATGACGATTATTTTCGTCACGGAAATATTTAGAAGTAGCATATCTTTGTACATTGGAAATATTTGATTTATATATTTCTTAAATATGTCACTAAATGTTTTATCAGAATGAATAAGCAACAAGTGAAACGTGATTCTCCTTTATTACTTTAAAAGTAATAAAAGTTAACTCACTGGTTAAGCTAACGTGTTAACAGGTTAAGTGGACACCAGGATGATAGAATGTTTCGAATGAAACTATTAATCATTTACACTAGAGAATTTTTTTTATAGAAATATTCATTACTTTATAAAGATATATCTTGCAAAAATTAAGAGACAGAACTATTTTATTTCGATGTTCCGTCTGCTGATACATTATACAAAATTTAATGATTTATTAAATTTTGTCATTTTTCTGGGTCAAGTTAAATGGCAACTGAAAGGCACTTTTTGAGTGCGAAGAGTTAACACCGTTGATTAGTTAATTATGAACATAATCATTCGTTGAATGAAAGAATCACTACGATGACTACGACTTTATTAAAAGTATAACTTGGACTTTCTCCTATTGATTTCGAATACCTATTTGCATTAATTTCCATTGGACGTGCATCAGTAGCAGTGCCTAATGTTAAAATATAAATCATTGGTGTATGACATATCGGTTTATTTTCATCGTTAAGAAATTTATAGCGCGATTATCTCTAATGAAACGTAGTTTGTAAAAACACTGAACTTAGAATTTCTTATCGCTGCATTATTTTGTGTTGCAATTGTTCAGTAATTTAATGTAATCAAAGGGAATGCAAATGTTTAAAGAATAATATATCAATGTCTTCTATAAACTTTTACGCAACCAAAATATTGGTTCACTGAAGATGTTTAAAATACGACCATTGATTTGCTCTAATCTTCTAACGGTATCTTTTACTTTCGTTTAATTACATAATGAAAGAAAATGATAATTAATATACACCGCTAAATTAAAAATATAATCATTGTAGAAAAAGTTAAACGTAGAAAATGATTTTTAGTTAAAATTTTAAAAGGTGTTTTGTTATATATTCGATGAAAATGGTAAGAATACAAAAAAAAATTTGACAAAATTGCTTTGAGTCTTCATTGTTGAATATTTTTAAGTAGATTTCCAAAAATGTTATAGTATTTTAAAAATTTGGAAAAACGTAGACATTTTGGTGGCCAACGTAGGGACTGATGTCATTTTCATGAATCAGCCAATGGAATGTGAAACTGTTCAAATATTCGGAGGTTGTGTCGTATCGTTTATCAGATAAGAAAAGAAATATTACGAAATTGTGGAGTGCATGTGATTGAATCGACGTTGTTTGCATGACGTGTCGTGCAATTTTATATTGGCGCGGTATCGTTATCTTTACATAACTTCTTGCCGTTACGGTCTCTTTCTACGACCACGCGACTTGACGTGTGTTGTTCCTCCAAAAGGTGGCGAATTGCGGACAGACACAACAACGTCTGGCGATACCGACGAACTTGACCTTCCGCACGGTTCGGTTGATTAAATTTGGAAGGAGCCATGTCGCAATCGAGCAACTCACTTGATTAAATCGGTTAACTCCACTTTTTGAATTTTTTCATTCGAATTTTAATTTTTAATTTGAATCGTTTCTTTATGAAAATTTTATTATTAAATTGTCTAACTATTTTTTAATTTTTTATGTTTCAAATAAATTTCTTTATTATTGGGTTTATGCTATTAGAAAAAAACATTCTTTTGGCGACGCGAACATTGCAATAAACATAAAAATTAATTGAATGATATAGAATAACATTGTTTATCTTTGAATTGTTTGACTGACTTTGAAGTTTTTATATTTACAAAAATTGTAATAACAATACAGATCTTTTAAAGATCTACTGTTTTAGGTATTTTACATGCTCGTTGGATTAAAGCTACACCTGTAATAACAAAGTAAAATATGAAATGGTAATTTAACTCTTTGCACTCGAGTGGTGACGCTCAGTCGCCATTCGATTTGATACAGCAAAATTATAAAGTCTTATATATAATATTAAGCTTTGTATAATGCATCAATATGTGGAATGTTAAAATAAAATAACTTTCCTTCTTAATTTATGTTTGATTTCTCATTAATTAGATTCAAAGAACATCGCTTGTATCTTATTGGAGAATGTTGAATATTTTTAGTGACAAACTTTCGAGTGCAAAGATTTAACGAAAAATTTCCGAAACCGATGTATACTATTACATCGATTCTTTTTCATTTCTGTTTTGTGGAACTTTCGCTGATGAGTGGCTCAAATACCACTTACTCTCGTTCGTAAAGGACAGTCTATTTTTCATTTTCCCTTCCTTTTCTGATAATCAAGGTGTCTTGTGTGAGAAAGATTAAACATGTTAATCTATTCGTGGTTACGTATAAATGGAAATTCGATATTATGTTCGAGACTTGAACAGAATGTTTTCAATCAGAAGGCTATTTTTGTAAACTCATTTTACTATTTAATAGCGTGTTTATACACGTGAACGTCTGCTCGTTACGTCACATTTCTTCTGTGTGCTGTAACTTGTAAAATGTATACAGTAATTTGCTTTATTCTTCTTCAAACACATGAAACATAGTTTTGCCCTTAGTACTTAAATTAATTACTTCAATACGTATCTTCAACGAATATTCAAATTGTTATATTATTGAATTAAATTAAAATCAACGTTTTATTATCGTTTTAACAATGAAATTTTTATGCGATTACTGATCGTAATTCAGCGTCTTACTGCTAGTTACTTTTGCCCCTGTCTGTGCTCTGTACCAGCATTTAATAATCGTTTCTTGCTTAATTAAAGATTCGAGAACGTTAATTATCCAAAATTATGAATACATTGATAAACCGATCATCTGAGGTTAAAACACATTTCCTCGCATTGATTAATCGCTATAGAACAATCACTGTTGTTTACAAATAATGTTTCATGAATATTGTTTATAAAACGTGACCTTAAGCACACTGTTTTTTAAAAAAATCGATAATGTTACTGATCACGCGTACATGCAAATAACAGGATAATAGGTTCTCAGCTACGTTCCTCCGATCTTTTTAAGTATGAACAAACAGTTATAATCATAGGCAATAAAGTTTATGAACGAATACAGGGAACGTAACATTTTAACCAGTTTTTACCTACTATTTATAAAATTTGTTTCAAATATTGAGATTGTCATGCGAATTAATTGTTCTCAGTTTGATAAATAAAATTTTTAATGATATCAAATAATAATATCATACTATACAATGCTATATAACATTATAATACTATAATAGTATTTTTTGATATTATTATATTTATTATACTTTGATAATAATTATTATTACTGTTTTCCTTTATTATACATTTATACATTTATTAAATATTTTTATTATTATTATAGTATCGGAATAATACAAATAAAAATAATAATATTAAAGTAACATAATATAGTAAACGAGTGAAATTGAAATTTCAATAAAATAAATGACATGGAATTTGTATGCGCGAATGTGTTTCCTACCGTCGAAGATTGATCGGTTTAAAATTCGTTCCATGCGAGTGATTCATCGTCGGCGAAAGATTACTTGAATTATGTAACGTTGTTTCAGGGAGGGCAACGATCCCGACGATTATTCGCGGCTGACTTACAAGAAATTGCTAGAAGAGGTATGCAGGTTCGCGAATGTACTGAAATCAAAGGGAGTGACGATGGGCGACCGCGTCGCCATTTATATGCCGATGATTTTGGAGCTGCCTATCGCTATGCTGGCTTGCACAAGGATCGGCGCTGTTCATACTGTGGTGGTAAATACATATTACACTTTTCAACTGCCACGTTTTGAAACACTGTTTAACACTTTCGTTGCTACAGTGGTCTCATGGGACCAGAGCTTCGAAATTACTTGAAAGCAATTATAATTCATTATAAGACAACTGACGACGAATAAAAATCTTCAATAGCGTAAATAACTAGATAACGGTGTAACGCAAGAATTGTGGTACCAAATAAATAATAATTATTCCTTTTTATCTTTGCTACAAAGGAATAAGTGATACTTAGAACGTTGATGTTTATCGTGGCAGTGAATGTGTTAAACAGTTAATACATTGAGTGCCACGAGAATTACGGGCGTTTTGTTATAATAACATTTATTCCTTTGTAATAAAGGCGAATGATGTTAGATGTAATTATTAACCTGTTAACTGTGGAATTTAGTTTGAAACATCCTCGTATTGCGCGCATGCATACATCAAACATAAAAATACTTTGAAAATAAACTGTGAATAAGAAATGTCCTGATCTTCGAGCATTATCCAAAGACTTTAAATCAACTCGAACATTCCTCATGTGCATCAACATCTCTTTTTATTTCGCTCTTTATACACAAGGTTTGTTATGCACATACGCGTGGGAAATTAGTTCGCAGGTTATTCATCGGATTCCCTGGCCGAGCGTATTTTGGATTCAAAGGCGAAGGTTTTGATTACGACCGACGGCGTATGGAGAGGAGAGAAACTTCTTTTGTTAAAGGCTATCTCCGATGACGCTTTGGAAAGGGTTGCGAAAAATGGTCACAACGTCGACTGTTGCGTAGTGGTCTCGCACCTGAGGAGGGTTAGCTGTCCGCAGGGAAGCAAAACCGATGCAACCGGTAAGCCAAATAAAGATTCTTCAGCTAACACTTGTCCCTTTTATAAGAAAGGCTTAAGGCTTTACCTACTGAGATTATTAATAGTTTTCTCAACATCTGCGCCATGTTTGGAGAGAACTCGATAATGTTCCTTTAACCTGTTAATTGTGGAATTTAGTTTGAAAAATCTGTCATTGTGCACACGATAAAATGTAACAAAGAATTATATACTCGCCAAACGCAGGGCAAATGTACCTGTAATATAATCCAACGAAAAACTGAAGCAAAACGAAGAAGAATTACATATGTATCTGAAAAAATAATTAATTCATAGTAAACGTGTATAATAGTCGAACGCGGTTAACTGGTTAAATAATGATAAGAAGAAAATTGTTATGTCACGTTGCTTGAAGAAAACTTGTTAATTGTAATTATGGCAATTATAATTGAAAATCAAAAGACAAATTTAAAGTTAAATCAAAATAACATTTGAAAATTTGGAGATTTAAATTTCACGCCTGAATGTATGAAAGTTCGAGTTTAATTAATTACTCAATTTTGATGCCAACATATTGGTATGTGACTTTAAAGTTATACGAGCCTATAAAGGGTTAAAGGAAGTTAATTTTGAGAATTTAAATTCAAAATTTTTAATGAACTTTCGAAGAAAACTAAGGTTGCTTCAATTTTACAAAGGAAAGACAAATGGTGTGAACGGTACAAGCGATGGAAATGGCTTGGCGACACCTCAGATTCCATGGGACGATGACAGAGATGTTTGGTGGCATGAAGAAATGGAGGAAGCCGAAGACAAATGTTATCCTGTATGGATGGGTGCTGAAGATCCACTTTTTATTTTATACACAAGGTAAGTTATTAAAAAAACGAAAATAACTTCTAATTATTCCACAATTATTCTTAAGACTTTCTTGTATCTAATACCTTTTAACATCATCAAGATAAAATAAAAATTGTAATTAATTCAACTAATTTTTCTGTAATCTTTTTAGAGTATTATTTTCGAAATTCTTTCTGGAATTGTAATAATTAACAGTTGTTAGTTGATAGACATTAACAGATATAATTGTAATAATTATAATTTATGTTTAGAATTGCAGTAATTATATATATTTTACATATTTAATATATTTATTTAATATATTTATTTATTAATTATAAATATTATATTAACGAACAGTGGCTCCACGGGAAAACCGAAAGGCGTACTTCACACCACGGCTGGTTACTTAATTTATGCGGCTACAACATTCAAATACGTCTTCGATTACCATCCTTCTGATGTTTACTGGTGCACAGCCGATGTTGGTTGGATCACTGGCCATACTTACGTCGTGTATGGTCCCCTGGCGAACGGAGCCACTTCCGTCATCGTAAGTCGATTTCAAAGTATCAATTTTACTTCGGTGCACGCCGTTCACCAAATAAACTAATTCGGTTAATAAAAGGCAGCATTTGAATTTTATGAGTTTCGTTGGAGAAAAGTAATAAAATTGAAAGAGTCGCCGACATTTCCTTATTATTTGCAATTAAAAGTTCGAAGTGACATGACTTGCACAAGTGGAAGTACGTTGTAGAACATAAAAGTTTATCGATGAAAATAAACATAATTTTAATTTGGCGCCACTTTTGCATGTTCTTTACGTTTATGAAAGACATGTACTTTTTATATTATTTATTTTCAACGACAGATAAGAAAACATATTAGAAATTCTAGTTAAATATTATTTAGTTGTTTACTTTAGCCGGTAATTATTCAGTTGGATTTTTAAAAGTAACAATTGGCGCGAATTTATAAATAAATTGTTTAGTGTTAACAGTAAATTACTGCTACGAGACAATTTGAGAAATATCTTGTAATTTCAATAAAGAGGTTTCTGTCAATAAGCAATGACATCAAAAAGTCTATTAAAGAACGTTTAGCTAGAAAAATGTTAATTTCTGTCGGTAAGTATCATATGTCCTGTAGTGAACGCGTTATATCTTTATTGTTATATTTTATTGTTGCATTTATTGTTATTTTAATGTTATATTTTTCTATTCGATTGTTATATATAGTTCGAAGGCACTCCGTTTTACCCGAGCAACGATCGATATTGGTCGGTGATCGACAAATATAAAGTCACGCAATTTTACACGGCGCCAACTGCAGTCAGATCGCTCATGAAGTTTGGGGATGACTTAGCGAAGAAGCACAATTTGTCCACTTTAAAGGTAAGGTACCATAGTCGAATAAAAATGAAACGATCTATGAAAGGAATATTACTAATAAATCATTTATATATTAATAAATAATAAATATATATGTATTTTATTTTAACAAATTATCTACATATTAATAATTATATGCATATATAATTTATTTATGTATAAATAATTTATTTAACATTGAGTTATTCACCTTCCAAAGTAATTCATTATAATCAAAGAAAATTGTTGAAGGTTGAGAAGAATGGTAACATTATATTATTACACTATCCATTAAACGTTTTGAACTGAAATTTTGAAATTTAAAAGAAAATTGGGTTAGTCAATTTAATTTGAGAACGACTGAGTTCATAATAATTAATCAAATAAAGGAAGCATTATTAGATCCAGGTAAAAAACAATGGTCAATTGCTTCTGTACATAACGGTTCAAACAAGGTTAATTGTAAAATAAAAACTGTATTATGCGTTATTGCAAAATTTGTCCTTTTTATAGACACACGTTACATAAATGTAAAAATCCGCAATTGTTGTCGCAGTGCTGAGGAATGTCATTTTTTGTGATAATCATGTAATTCTTTTTTATCTTATGTTTCTATTGTTTTGTATTGGGTTCTAGGTGCTTGGTTCAGTTGGAGAGCCAATTAACCCAGAAGCTTGGCTGTGGTTGTACAATATCATTGGTCATGGAAAGTGTAGCATAGTGGACACATTCTGGCAAACGGAAACCGGAGGTCATGTGATCACTCCTTTGCCCGGTGCTACGCCTATGAAGCCAGGCTCCGCGGTAAGTTAAATTATTTTCAATTATTTTAAACGTCTAGTTGATACTTCAGATTAATGCTTACAAAACATTTTTTCTCATATTACAAATTTTGATCTATGAGAGAACTGAATCAATCGTATCTTGAATGATTTAAATGTATTCATAAATATATTTCGTAATTGATTTTGAATTTTATATATTAGTATTCAATCCTCTTATAAAATGAAAAATTTGTTCTATTAAAACATTTACAAACACTGAATATTTACCAAGCAAGCGTACAATTGTAATACGTACAAAACAATGATAACAAAAAGAAGCATGGTTTTGCGTAAATTGATCGATCGTTTGGGGAAACAACATTTCGCAAAGATCGACTTAAATTGATCGATTGATTAATCGCTTGTTCTGTTTCTTGTCAGTCGTTTCCCTTCTTCGGAGTTTTACCGGAACTCTTGGACGAAGATGGTCGATTAATCGAAGGTGAAGGAGAAGGGTATCTCGTTTTCCGACAACCATGGCCGGGAATGATGAGATCTCTTTATGGGAATCACCAACGCTTCCAAAACACATACTTCGACCGGTTCCATGGTTACTATTGCACGGGTGACGGTAAGAGGACTAATTTAAAAACAATTTAAAAAATATGTATAAAGTCATAATGGTGCTATTAAAACTAGAGGTCGAATGGAATTGTTAATTTCTACAAATAAAAGTTATTTATTAAACTTTTATTCCCTGAACCAGCTCTTTTCCACTGTAACTTAACTTTGTACAATGACTTTACTTTTATTGTCGCTTCTATACAATAGAAGCTTCAATTAATACACTGTATTTTACAATTTTATCAAAAACGATAATAATTTAAAAAATTACTTGAAACACTTGAAATACTTGAAATATTTATAAATACTTCATAAAATTATAGTCCCCTTATTGAGCACTTTAACTGTTCCATTCAACCCCTGATTTCAGATCAAAACAGTTTAACTAACAGTAAATCATTTAGCCAAAGGATTTCTGTAATTTTGGCCAGCGTATTTAGCATCCTTTCCAAGTTCTTCTTCAATTCTCATCAATTGATTGTACTTAGCGGTTCTTTCGGATCTGCAAGGTGCTCCAGCTTTAAATTGACCGGCTGACAAACCGACTGCCAAGTCAGCGACAAAGTTATCTTCTGTTTCCGCCTGACAAGCTGTCACGATGTATCCCCAGTCGCTTACCCGCGCTGTCTTCGCGCAATTGATCACCTCTGTCACTGTGCCGACTTGAGACATCCGCAGAATCATAGCGTTCGCCATTTGCCTCACGATTGCTTCCTCGATCCGATCGATGTTCATCGCGGTCAAATCGTCGGCGACGACTTGAATGTCTTGATCGGCTAGCGTTAACCAACCTTCCCAATCCTCCTGGTCGAAAGGATCCTCGATGGAAACTATGGATGGGAACTCTGTTAGGTACTCTAAATATTGATCCTTCAAGGTCTCTGCCTCCATGTAGTCGTCGGGATCGGAATCTTCCGTTTTGAACGCTAGGTCATAACCACCTGTTGCGAAAGGATCGTTGAAGTTCGTTTCACGTTGTGAATTGAAATTGTGAATTTAGCAGTCTGTTCCGTTAGATAGTTAGCACTGAGGAGATGATTGAACAGATTAGATTGTCTGCGTGTAAATTGTGGTTTATAGTATTTATAGTAATATTAATATACAATATTTTAAGTTTATAATTAGTTTGTCATGTTATAATAATTTTCATAATATTACAGATGTTAATATTATATTAATACTGTAATGATTAAGTTTATCATATTGAAAATAATATTAAAAAAATACTTATAATTTTAATACTCGTGACTTTAAATTTAATATTCGTGATCATGTTATGGGTGTTAATTGTGTTTGCACAAGGAACAAATTTTTTATTACATTTGCCTTTACATTAAAGTCAAGTACTGAATGTATATAATTTTTCATTGAAATATATTTGTTCAGTGGAAATGGAATTAATGGGTAGGTTCGATGGAGTTTTTAATGTTTAGTTTTTTCTTCTTTTGCTACGAGTTAATTTGAAATGCAATACATTGCAAGCATAAAATATCTATGAAGATTTATTAACCTTCTTTGTAAAATGCACTGGCCGCCATGTCCAATGCAATCACTATTTTCCCTTCGTATCCAGCGTCTTTAATGGACTCGTCCAAAATCATTAATGCTTCTCGATCCTCTTCGAATTCTGGCGTAAAGGCGCCTTCGTCGCTAACCGGAAGCGGTAGATTTATTTCCTGAGCTGCGGCAATCTTCTTCTCCAACACTTTGTACACTTCCGTTCCCATTTTCAACGCGTCAGCGAAACTTTCAGCCCCTAACGATACTAGTGTTAGAAAAGTGTAAACGAATCGATATATATCGACGTATTTAACATATTGTATTTTGTTTATTGTTCGGGTAACGATCTTGTTGATATATTCAGTTTTTACACGTTTGCGCTGTCTTGTGATTTCTGTTATTTACGTTTTGTATATTTCATAAAGGTATACTTAATAGCAGATTAAAAGCATATTTAATCAGCAGAAAAATTTACAAAGTAACTGTAGACGTCTTTGCAAATTCAATTTTGCGAAGATTTACTTGAACGAACAAGAATCAATTCTTTTTCTAATTTTACTTTCTTTGTTGATGATCCTAATAAATTATAAAAACAAGAGAAAAATTGTTTGTTTCGACAGAAAAATTGATATAAAACATAAAACAACTGTGAAAGTACCTATAGGCAAAATCATAAATTCTTGGCAAGGTATCGTGTTACCCGCGTGTCGTCCTCCACTAATCATATTGAAGCTTGGAACTGGAATATAAAGTTCTCCATTTTCTGCTAACTCTGCGATGTATCTGCGAAAAAAGTAGACAGTTTCTAGGGGATGTTTGAATGATTCATAAATCATTTTGTCTTTGTATAGTGGTCATTTCTATCGTTCATTAATTTAATACTATTTTTCCACTTTAGAAACTACCTTCCAGAACATTCGTCTTTAGAGTAAACTGAAACAATACCGCGAATTAGTTGTCAAACTACGAACATTTATATGAATATAAATTCTTGCAAATTAATATTTAGAAACTGATCTTGAATAGAAGTTCTATATATTAAATTTAAATTTCAAATATGAATGAAATTCAGTTTAACATTAAACTTAGCCATCGAGTGGTCTCCTAGTATTATAGTACATTTATAATTTCTATATAACAATAAAACCTAATCGATTATTCGATAATCCTAGCATTAAATAATTAAAATAGAAGAAAAAATGTCATCGACGGTCACCTGTAAATCGGAAGTCCCTTCTTTGCGGCGCCAGCTTTGCAGCAGGCAACAGACACACCGAGTATAGCGTTAGCGCCCAGTTTCGATTTGTTCTCAGTCCCATCTAGTCTGTTCAGCAGGCTGTCTATCTCCATTTGTTGACAAGCCTCCAGCCTAGATTTCAACAGTTGCGGCGCGATTACGTTGTTGATCACGTCGACTGCTCTGAACACCGAACGTCCGTGGTACATGGCTTCGTTCCCGTCCCTCAATTCCTGCGCCTGATTGGGGTTCGGCACCAGAACAGAGGGCACCGACGACCTCAATAACCCGACATCAGTGATTATATCGACTTCCAACGTCGGCTCGCCCCTGGAATCGAAAATCTGTCGAGCCTTAACCTTCTGAATTGGCATCTTCGCCTCCGGTTTTTCTCTTCCGATGTTGAAGTCTTCTAAAAGTTATCGCTAATCTGTTTCTTTCCGGGAGAAAGAAATTTTCTGCTGGAATTTTAAGGTTGCTGGTCGAGGTGTGTCGTGGAGAGGATTCTTGAAAAATTATTTGTAAATTCGTTTCGGTCAAGCTATGTTCGTGAATATTTGAAGATAATTGAAACTCGTTTTGTGCGGATTCTTTTTGTTAATTATGATACGTGCGACTTTTCTTCTAGTCGTTTGTTTTGTAATATATTTGAGCAGATGATTAAATGAGAAATTTTTGTTAATTCATTAATTATTGATTACTTTGACTACTTTTTCTACTTCGATTATTTCGATATACTTTGATCTTTGATTAATAAACTAACAAATAATAACTTCAAAATTTTCAGTTTTATACGTAAGCTAAAGAGATTATAACAATTGTAGATAATAATGTTTCATCGAAAATAATGATTGTCATTACGATTTGGATCTTTTGTTATTTGTAAACCTTTTTATTATCATTACTAGGTCATTAAATAATAATCAATTATTATTATCGAATAGATGATTAAACAGAAACTTTGATTTCAGGTGCCAGACGAGACGCCGATGGTTATCTATGGATAACCGGTCGCATCGACGACATGTTGAACGTTTCCGGACACCTGATGTCCACCGCGGAAGTGGAGAGCGTGTTGACGGAGCACTCATCGGTAGCTGAAGCAGCAGTAGTCAGTAAACCGCATCCAGTGAAAGGGCAATGCCTTTATTGTTTCGTAACGCCTAACTCAGGCGAGAAATTCGATAAGAAGCTCCAAGATGAGTTGAAGAAGAAAGGTACGATATAAGACCGGCGATTTGTTTTACAACGCCCTTTATCATTTTCAGTATTTACTTTCTATTGCTGCATTTAATAGCACGTAACAAACACTCGCGATAATGATTAATAATTGAAGTAATAATAATTTATAAATATAAAAATAAATAATACAATAACAATAATAATATAATTATAAATATAAATATAATTTAGAATTATATGTTACAACAATAATTATAACTATATTTAATCAAAACAATAATAATTCTTTTCGCAACAGTACGCGAGAGAATTGGTCCGTTCGCTCAACCGGACATCATCCAGCACGCGCCGGGACTGCCAAAAACGCGATCGGGCAAGATTATGAGACGAATCCTGAGGAAGATTGCCGCGGGGGACAGAAATGTCGGCGACGTCTCCACGTTAGCCGACGAGGGCATCGTCGACATTCTTTTCCAGCTGAGGCCGCAAGTTTAGACAGTCCTCTTCGAAAGAAACTTTCTTGAAACGTAGTAATCTAGCCAAAACAGAAAGAAACAAAAAAAGAGAAAGACCGGTGAGGTTCTTCTTTAGATCGCAAGAAAAGATAAACCGAGAGACCGGTACCGTAGGTGAGAAATTCAGAACGCGCGATTCGCTGTTCCAGAGAACGAAACTTCCCTTTTATATTAGAATCGTTTACCCTTCTTCGTTGATAGCCCGATACTTATACTGTGCTGCTCAATCTTCAAAGCTAAGTGTGCAAGAGCAAGGGAAATTGACCGCATGCGCCACCTCTTGGTCCTTCCAAGAAACATGGTAGCCGAATCTCTGCGCTCGCCAGATTCGGTAAATATAAAAAGTCGCCGCTGCGTAAAATGAAATTTGATGTTACTGTTTTGTTATATTTCACTTCCTAATATTCTGTTTTGTCTGCTTTCTTCGTCACGCAGTTCGGCTAATAACGTCAACTATTGTTGCGAGCATTCTGAATGGAAGAGGAGTCTTTGCCCCTGTGACTTTTGGGCTTTTAGGATTAACTTAAAACGCGAGAGCTGCACAGTAGTGCTAATTTATCTATTTACTTTGTAAGATGAACATCGTACGGTAACGGATACCATTACGTTTCCACAGTTTGTTGTTTATATTCGTTTGACAGCGTTCAACAATAGACCATATTGGTTATTGCGCTTGCCGAACGAATTGGGAGCTGCGAAACTGCTAATTCAAAGCGCGACGCGACACTAAACGAGATAATCAACTTATGAAAGTGCGACAAACAAACGAACGTTAAACGTGTTTACAATTTTACATGAATTGACGTTAAGAATAATACCGCATGGTATATATATATACATATATGTTAACCGTTAATCGCGCACCGATCGACACATCATGTCAAGCGATATTTTCTCGGGCGCAGTTCCACTCGAAACGATTGCACGACGTTTGTCTGCGGGACGAAGAGTTTTATAATGACGCACGCCTGACACATGAGTTTACAAATGATTCGTCGATCGACATGAAAGTATCTCGAGAACTTTTGAAGAATTTATAAACGCTGTTCCGATTAGTTGCACTTCCCGGTGTGCATCTGTTACGGTAAACTCGATTACTCCGGAAATTATACATAACCGCCCGGCGATTATGCGTAATCGCAAATAACATTGGAGAATAATTATACATAATCACCGGGGGATTATGTGTAACTACCGCTTTATCATATTGCCTGTAACATAATCCATTGTAAACGTACGCGAAGGAACTCCATTCGTTTTCATTTGGTCGTGTAGCCGAGTCGTCGATTTTTTCAGGATCATCGTTTCCTTCTTCGAGTTTTGGTCAGCTTGTTCGTTATCTCGTTAAGTTTTTTCAATGATATTGGATAATCGACGGCGTTTGTACAGGTTCATGCTGGCTCGATTTAAATTGTAAGTCGTAAGAACTTATCGACGGTTTAATGTACAAAGTTTTGGTCGCGAAAGTACCATCGTTGATGGATAAGACGTAGCGGGACATAACATTAGCCTCTTAACCCCTCGACAGGGGTAAACGCATATGCAAAACGCGACTGTTCTCCGATATCACGGTGTAATTATATTACTATAATTTTCGGACGTATGATTACAGCCATGCAAAAGATTCTGGCGGAAAATTATTCTATAGACACTTTCTAATAATATATACATATATATTTTTGTAGAGTTATGAAGATTTGAATGTGCTTAAAAAGTAGTTAAAACGAATCTAACATCCATCATGCATATATCAAATTTTTGCAGAAGTTATTTAGCTGTCTTAAAGAAACTGGAAGATATTTGACAAAATCGATGTGTGCGTTGTCTGAACACGTTTAAATATGTAGCTATACAGATTTCGGGAACTTTGCATGTTTGGCTTCGAGACATAAGAATGCTATTGTGTTTGTCAAACAGAAATTTTGTAGTCTGCTATGTCTTATTCTGAAATCGTGTATTTAAAAATTGTTAAATAATGCCGTCGGTGAACGAGCCACGAAAATGAACCATCTTGAAAATCCCGCCATTAAGTTAAGCAATGACTAAAAACGGCTACGTGTATGTACACAGTATTGCTTTTGTAATTTCGCGTTTCTGTGTCCCCCTTAACGTCTCGTTTACATTTCCACTGTTTTGCGACGCTGCGCAGCACCTTAAACATATTGTTGATAAAAAGAAACAGCGGTAAATATCTCGCTATCGAATGCAAAAACAAAACAGCGTTTACTACTCCTAAATGTCTTGTTGAACCTGTGATGTTTCGCGAAATTACAGAAGCTGTTGTCGTATTACGAACGTACCTACATCCGGTCAGCCAAACTTTGACTGCTTGTTACTTAAAATTAAAGTTAGTGTAATATAAATTTTATTTCCAAATAATGATTATTAATAATAATTATTCGAAGAATCGGAACGAACGAAATTTCAATAACTCTACGCACTTGATGTCTGACGCAATATTTTCTTTGATCCGGTTGTAATTACAAGTGATTATACATACCTATATATATATATAAGCAATAATGTAAAATCCTTCGTTGACTAATTACGTGTTTCAACACGTATTCGAAGAGCCATTAAGAGTAAGTTTTGCAAAACATGCTGAGAAATGTCTAGCAGCGAGTTATTTAATTTTTAGTAAATTATATTTTTTACAGCGGCCGCTATGCGGTCGAGGAGCGTGACAGACCTAAGTATACGCACGATTATTGACGCACTTTACATGAAAGTCAGCGTTTCCTGTAAATTTTTAGAAGGCTGGATTTAAACAAAACCACACTGCGCTAAGCAGTGTCACATACATATCATTCCTCGCGGAACAAATCAACTATAGGTGTGATAATGATATATATATATATATATATATATATATATATATATATATTTAAATAAATTATAAATTATAAATATAAATATACATAAAAATATAAATATAAATATAAATATAAATATAAATATAAATATATATATTGAAGAAAGTATATGTATATTATATGAAAAATGCAGAAGCGTACGTATATATGTAAATATATCTATGTTAAAGAACACAATTGTTACTAGCCTGTTAAATGAAATCGTGGTATTCATTTAATTGTTCATTCCCCTTTCATGGTTATTGATTTCCCCGAACTTTTTATTACTTTTCTATTAATCCTGTCAATTTTACAGGATCTTTCAGTCGTAAAAGTTTAATCAGCTTTTTAATAATTTGTTTTCTACGAATTCGGTATTTTATGTAAATTCTGCAGAACTGTGAAACTATCAATGAATGAGTTACAGGTTTAAGTCGTCAGGATACTATTTATTATATTATTAAGCTATTCAAATAATAAATAACGAATAAAAGTAATCATTTTTTATATTCTTTTTCATAAATTCACTATTCATAAGAAAAACATAAAGCAATAACGCGATAATCCTATCCAAGTTAATTTTCCAAATTAGCCATTTCAAAGAGATTTATTTTCCTCGCTGAAAGTATCATTATATAAAAAATAAAGCGAATCTTTCATTAGACACCATTCAAGCCTTTAACCACAGATATTTATTGAAATATAAATTCAAATTCAATTTTCAGTAACTGATTTCAAAGACAAACTTGTATGTTGTGTCAAGCGTTCTAACATACTCTGATAAAAATATGCTAAGTTACTAACTAAATTGAACTCTAAAATACGGTGGACCCTTTAATAATTAATATATTTTAGATTTTGTGCATCTAAACATCTATGGATTCATAATAATCATTTTTTGATAATACTGAAAGTCGGGATTGCCGTGAGCCGCGTCGCCACTGTCGCTTTCGATGGCGAGCCCAAGTGGTGGAAGAACCGCCTTTTTAAAACCAGCTGACGAGATGTTACGTCAGTTGGTCGGTATCCGTTACCATTGGGTGCCTGTTATTGTTGTCGGCGTTGATCGTTTCGCGAGACTCTCCGATCGTTTCCTTTTTCCGTAATTCAAACGCATCGACAGTCATCATGTCGAATATCGACGACTATTACCTGACCGTGCTTCGTTTAGTGAAGGAGGCTGGCTCAGTAAGTAAGGGTTTCTCATCGACAAAATCGACGACAACAAAGGAACAACCGCACGCAGTATTAAGTTATTCTTGGCTGATAGCGAGTCTCGTTTATCGATTTTGCTGTTTCGGATTTCAATCAAGTTTTCGGACACAAAGGGTGCCTCGCTGTATATATTTCTTTTGGATAGAACCGTTTTGTATTGTGTCGTTCAACTGGCTTTTAATACAAAATTATTTCACAGTACAAGGAATCGTGAATTTGTTTTTAGATAATTACAACAAACGTGATGTCAATATTAATTAAAACATTATCGATACAAATACTTAAAAACGCGAATTGTTTTATTCATGATCAGGCATAGTTGTTTTATTACAAGCCTGTTTTTTTTCCTTAATGGTAGTGTAGGTAATGATATTAGTAATGATATTAGAAGTCACTTGCTTGACTTCCGAGAAACGAATTAGATAAAATAACACCTCTGGTGGGCTTTACGTTGCAATAATCGAGCGTGACTTATATTTATAACCTATAATTCTAATGTATTTTGTATTGCAAATAAATATGAAATTGCTAAATGTATATTGTTAATACTTGTATGGAACAATACACTCTTTGGCATTTTTTCTTATATCATATTGTTCTTCTCTTCCGATGAAATAAACGGATATCCCTAAATGGAAAATTTGAAATACCATTTACTTGTTTTCAAAATATGATGAAATAAAGTTAAAAATGTTCGTCACAGAATTATTGTTTTCTATTACTAAAACATTTACTGGTTGGTTTGTATACTAAATCGATCGCTGTGAATATATATGGTTTTAAATAATGTATAGTGATGTTTTTATTTGAATTTATAATCTTTGAATAACATCATTCAAATTTGCAAGCTTTTTTGAAGTTTCTAAAACAATGTAAATATTTGAATAAAATTTAAATGTTTGCAGATCGTCAGGGAAAAAATCAATCAGCCTAAAGATCCGATGATTAAAACATGTGAGGTCGATCTTGTCACCGAATGGGACCAAAAGGTCGAGGAACTATTAGTGGCCGGTATATCCTCCAAATTTCCAGATCATAAGTACGTTTACCCAATTTAAAACTTTTTAGTTAATTTTGTTGTGTATACGTGTTGCCAATGTTTAGGAAATTTCGCTCCTGTAAATGACATTATACATAGTGCAGTTTAACAGAGCGAGTTGTCACACATTTAAGCATTTTTTTTGAAATTGAAAATTTCTAATTTTCGTATATAAACAGTAAAAATTCGATTGAGTAAATTATTAAAAAATTTGTTGATGTTTTAGATGTTTTAGATGTTAAAAATATTATCGACGCATATACAATTGTTTAGCGATGTAAATTTGAAAATAACGTAATAAATATTCTCATTTTCACGTTACCGACAACCGTATCATACCATCATTTGAAACTTTTTATAAAAGCGTTTATCGATTTTATCACGCAACGTATCACCAATTTCTATAATGAAATTCTCCTATCAATTACTACGAGAGTATATCATGTAATTTTGTAATTGGTAAATTGCTCCTTATTGAATCCTCATGTATGCATCCACATACACCATAATTTACACTTGACCATCAAAACATTCGACGCAATGTATCCCACTTATAGTCATGAGTTTCGAGCAGGGTCCAATGATATGTTTGTATGGAATTTTCCACTCGCAGGAAAATTCTAGAAGTATCAAAACACATTGCAAACTTCTGGAAACAGTTATACGTTTTTGAAAATTTTTTTAATTCTTTATTTTCCATGAAATTCCTATGGGAAGAAAAAATTGTTTGTTTAGTAGCTCTTTCTTCTGTTTTTCATAATATTCGTTTAAAATAATAATAACAACAACAACAATAATAATAATAATAATAATAATATTAACGAAATATATTTTTGTAGATTTATTGGCGAGGAAGAAAGTTCACTTGGTGCGAAAATTGAATTAACAGACGCCCCTACATGGATTATAGATCCAATAGATGGTACGATGAATTTCGTACACGGTTTACCGCACACGTGCATATCAATTGCATTAGTTATCAACAAAGTTACAGAAATTGGAGTTGTTTACAATCCGATTTTAGAACAGTTATTCACAGCTCGTAAGGGACAAGGTGCTTTTTTGAATGGGGCTCCTATTCAAGTGTCTGGGGAGAAAGGTATGTAAATTTTGTATTTTCCTCATTTTCCTTTGATCAATTGTTATGTTGTATTAAATTCTTTATTTATTCTTTTTTTGTAGAATTACGTAAAGCTCTTGTAATGATGGAAATGGGCACTAGCAGAGACCCTGAGAAAATGGAAGTTGTATTGAAAAATGCAAACAATCTTCCCCCTCAAGTTCATGGGTAGAACATCTTATATTTTTTTATATTTTTAAAACTTGTTGTATTTCTTATAAGTAAAACAACGTCTAATTTATCACTTTGAAAATCTATTTTATAATCAGAAGAATATATATTGATTGAAACAAATTTATTTCTTTTAGAATACGTGCTTTAGGATCTGCTGCTTTGAATATGTGCATGGTTGCTCTGGGTGGAGCAGATGTTTCTTTCGAGTTTGGTATTCATGCTTGGGATGTTGCAGCTGGTGATATTATTGTTAGGGAAGCTGGTGGAGTATGCATAGATCCCGATGGTAATTGTTTTTATTACAATTTAATATTTGAAATAAAATAATTTTCGAAGTATAAATTTACTTTTGAATCATCAACATTTGATTTTTTATTGTAGGCAGTCCATTTGACTTAATGAGCAGACGAGTTCTGTGCGCATCGACAATAGAATTAGCACAATCATTAGCCGAAATACTGGTCCAGTATTATCCCGCGCGTGACTGAGAAACACGCTGATAAAATGCTAAAGCAACGCAAGAATTATCAATGTTGATGACCTATGCGCCAAATAATGTACATGCTTAGTGTACGTAAATTTTTTATTTCTTCAGTCTATATATCTAAAAGGTATTATTGGAACTGTAATATGAAAATATTTGTTTTTTTTTGCAGGCATTTAAGGTTTTTAAACTAAAATAATAAATATAAATGTTTAAAGAATGTACTTATATTTTACTTTATTACATAAACATTTGAGACAGTGATGACAATATGTTTAAGAGATATATGAATAAATCTAAATTAAATATAAATTATCACACATATGGTAAGAAAAATGCTTAAAAACGTTCCATACTGGTGACGCGGATAATGTAGTCTACAAAAATTTAATTTCTTTATTACTAGATATAAAATGCTGTATCAAAGTGCAATGCGAAATAAATTTATTTATCCCATTACGTATATGTGTAATTTATTGTGATGATTGTTATAGTACTTTTCACATGTAAAACTTGTTTGTTTATATTAAAACTATGTTCAAAGATTTTGGTTTATAGTCATCTGAAAACTGAAGGCCAACAATATTAGTATTACGTTTTGTTCAATGTTACCTATATTCGAGTATATACACACCACGGCATTTATACACTTCTAAAATATATTACGGTAGCTTAGAATTCAGCACACACATGTACCTTACCTGTTTACATACTTACGGTTTTATTAATCTCAATGAAACATTAAGACAAACCTCTCTGCTGTTACAAATTTAATTAAATATTTGGTGATCCCTTTTGTGACAGTCGTCATTTTATATACAAGAAGTCAAGCAGCTGCTGCGAGGATTTCACCCCATTTCCTTTGTCATCAGTGCTTTCCACCAACTGATTTCATCATCTCTTCCATTGCCTCCCCTCCTCACAGGGAGGGCTACAAGTGAAACATTACCAAATTGCCAATTAGAAAACTATAAAACTAATGTAAGTTTCATTGTATTCAATTTTATTTTAGTATTTTAAAAAATCCCCGTAATATCTAATTGCTCTTTTTATTCTTGCAACTGAACAAATCCTTTTTTTACAAACTTTAGAAGGGCAGACTAAATACTCATGCTTTACGAGATACGACATTAAAGTAAACCAAATTCCAACATGTATTTATTTTTTCTATATCTTTTTAAGATATCACTTTGTAATTCTCTACGAAAATTATGTACGACGACTTAGTGTACGTATGAGACAAATTTGCTCTGCCTTCGAGGAGATAGAATACAATTTTATGCAGACTTTGATTCGTAATAGAGGTCGTTTAATGAAAAACGGATATACTAAATATCCCATAAGGCAGTCCCCCAAGAATACCTTGCAACGGGATCGGCGTTAAAAGCCCACATAGGTCCACCCGCACTTAACGATGCTTTGAATCGAAGACTCATCTGAAACATAAGCAGCCTCGTACAATATTGCCACGTAAAAATATATACCACGAACCACTCAAACAGCATTGATGTTCTGCTGTATCATACTTAAAAATGAATAACGCAACGATTAAATAAAAGAAAAAAAAGGAAAATTTATAAAGCTAGAATGCAGAATCGTATGCCATGGACATAATCGTTAAAACGAAAATATCGGTTTTTGTGACAAATAATACGATTACTATTGTTATATGATTATTGTGTGTTAAGTAATTTCGTTGCTGTATTTAAACTATCCGTTGGTAAATATTCCAGACCTCTATTTTTCAGTGCAAATATATACATTATTATTTTCTCATATTTCTTTACATTGTCACCTAAATAAATGCAACGTCAGATGTGAAAATGAATTAGTATTTTGTGAAACTAACGGTCAATTAGTGATTGAGTGTTAACATAGCAACTTATTTTACAACATTTTCTGAAACACATGTTATCTACCTATTATACCTCGTTACTAGATACGAAACGGATTACAGTTTGTTTCTTTTTAAATATATTATAACTACGGCACGTGCTTCTATATGCACGGGAGATGCGCGCGATTATTTATATTAGTCATTAAGACTGAAAGTATAAAATACAGGGCTCGTTTCTCATTCAGTTAAGCATGTGTCGTTTTATTTCAAGTAACCTACTTACTATACAATTTGTATCTTTTTCCTCTGTCAGTACAAGTCTCTTTGATTTACTAAGAGACTCCAAATGCCATGCATGCGCACATTTCAATGCCAACAAAGAAAAACACGAACCGTTTGTGAATCGGTTAACGATTATCAAATTCATTAAGTTTTACAATTTCACAAATACACGGAATCCTCTCATTGTGAACGTAAACGCATTATTAATAACGATTTACGAATATAATAATTTATGAGATATTATTTAATTGTAAAGTAGCGCATACTTTCCTTTCCCTTTTCTTATCGTCTTTCTCTTTTATTATTTTTTTTAATTGAAAGATTGAGAAAAAAGAAAAATACTATGTACCACCATTATGCTAAGTATCGATGGCCAGTGCTGAAAGAGGCGGTCACTTTTTCCCAGTTCATATCGTCCACGGAAGAGAATACGATTACCAAGTATGTAACTCTGCATGCCTCTTCTTCTTAGCGTAGCATCGTTGGTTTATTTACTTTATCGGTGCTGTGCACAGAGAAAAAGAAGTAAACCAAATCTAAGCGAAATAACTCGAATTTTAAAGAAAAAGAAAAATTTACACGGAAAGAGGATTTTTACGCCCTGATACACTATATTGTTCCGATCCGTATAAATGTATCTCATATTTTTGTGTTGTTCGATACATCAGTGAACTCCAACGTTTTTATTCGTCATTTGTAGTGGTTCTAATTTTAATATAAAAATATTGCACTCTATTGACCTGCAATAGTTATCATTCATTAAATAATACACTTCAGATTGATAGAGTACAACGTCATATGTATGTGAGGTTTTAAGTCATTTTTCTTTCCCTTCTAAATATATATATATTATATATATATATATAGATATAATATATATATACTTATATATATGTATGTCTACATATTCTCCAAATAGTTTCTCTCTTTATCAAATTAGACGGAGTAAGAGTGAATCGTGAAATTTTGCACCGCCTCTTTCTGCTAAAACGAATACAAGACACATTCTATATAAAGAGACACCGCCTTATGTTAGTCTGTTTTATAATACACAACGAATCGTAAGCGGTGTCATTTCAATCAGTTTTTGTAATGTTACGTCAATGAATTCTCCGATGTGGATGGACCCCGGACAGGGTTACCTAGATTTTTTCTTGTATAAATGGATGTGCCAGAGCGTGGTTCACAGTAATTCTCTTTCCAGCATCCAGCATCAACGTTCGCTCCAACAGGTCCTTCAGTTGTCCAACTTTTCTACTTTGTTCCGGTGGCAAAGAATTTCCACCTAACTCTGCATTAAGATCACGTGTAGCAGGTAACGTTGACATCACTACAACTTTTTCCTAGAAATGTTCACAATTTCGTACTGTACGCGTAATCATACTTTGAATAATTCATTTTTAACAAGGGCACTTACCAAACCACAAAGGTCAAGGATGGAAAGAAAAGTAGAAAGACAACTCACCCGCTCCGTAACCTTATCAACTTCATGATACAGGAAATTGCAGTTAGAGTCAAAATGTAGGTCCTTGAACATGCCCTTCCTAATCAGTTTATTAGGCATCTTCCCCTTCAGATCCATGAAGAATTTCAACATTTGGTTGTTGGTTTTACCCGAGAACATTATTTTTCCCGTGTATAATTCATATATGGTGCATCCCACGGACCACATGTCAATGCCAAAATCATATGGTACACCAAGAACTAGAAAATGGTACTGTTAACATCTAATATATGACAACGTTTATCAAATTTCTATAACAATGGCGATCTCCCTATTGTGGGTTCGATCAGTATACCCAAGCTATGTCACATAGTTTCCTTCAACGTATAAAAAGTATACAATTATATATATTTGCGACTAAAAAATTTCGTCGTCAGAAAATGATCTGTTCCAATCAAATATAACACACTTTCTGATCGCTTTGTATCACGTATACTATTGCATTGCTATTAAAAGCTGGTTCAAAGTTGAGTGGTCAGTAAATAAGAGTTAACCTCTTGAGTTCTTATGTCACTTGATTTTGTAAATTGCATAAACGTGAAACATGTTAAAGAATTTGATAAATAAGTCAAAAGATTGAAATAGTTACCTAATGAACAATATACATATATATATACACATATTAATGTGATAATGTACATGAATAATACTTACTAATCTCAGGTGCTCGATAAAATCTTGATACCAAGTATGGTGTTATATCGTTCTCATGTGCATGGGATGCTGAACCGAAATCGCAGAGTTTCAATACTAGTTTACTTTCACTGACTAGAATGTTATCCGGTTTGATGTCAGCATGAAGAATGTTTGCACGTTTTAATAACTTCAAAGCAAGGAAAAGTTGCTGCGTATACGATCTTACCGCTTTAACGTGTAAACCAACGTCTTTGCCATACTTTTTCAAAACCTAATTATATTTCAAATAAAAATTAGTTACATTACACATATTAATATTTTGTAGAAATATGGATAGAGAATAAGTACCTCTCTTAAATTCATAGCTAAAGGTTCAAAAACCATACACAAATGATTTTTGTGAAAAAAGTGTCTAAAAAGACGTAAACAATGAAATCTGTCTTCTGGATCTGCATCATTAAGTTTTCTGAGGATTTCTAATTCCTTAAGGCCAGTTTTATGCCTGAAACGATAATTGAAGTATAAACAGTAAATCATGGATGTTGCATTATAATGAACACTTACATTATTTCATTATTCCTTATTATTTTTACAGCGACGTCCAAATTGCCTCTAGCGCTGTCTCTAGCCCTTACAACATTACTAAATACACCTTGACCTGTATATCCGTAAACTACATATCGGGAATCTAATGTTTCGCCTACTCGTACTCTGAAAACAAAATTAATTATTTAATTGTGTGGTGTATTATGTACTAGAGAAAATATTTTAAAAAAATATATCTTACCGATAATATCCTTCAGCATCATCCCAGTTGTCCGTTAAACTTGGATTATCTGGTCCTCCTTGCCGTTTCCCTTCGACAGTAGGACTCTATAAAAAGGTATGAGATATAAAATAAGACTAAAAAATGTTTAGGAATAACATTATGAAAACTTACACTAAAATCGCCAATATTATCTGCCTCGGCGAACATATCCCATTCGTTTGATTTTTTTGCATTTTGTTTTTCTTCTGGTTTGAGTTTTTCCATTGATTTTGTGTCGTCATTTTTTTCAATATCTTCTGATGGTGTATCATCGAATCTGGATTTTCTCTTTTTAACTGTTTGTGGTGACTTTGGTTTTTCAGGCAGTGGTGGTGTATGACTTTCTGAAGTAGATTCGTTATTGTTGGATGGAACCTCTAACGATTTTTGTGACACGTTTGATTGGCTCTCCGATGGTGGTGTAGCAGGAACAGTATTTATGTCAGCAGACATATTGGAGTCTTCGTTTGGTCCACCTAACCTCTGTGTAGAAATAAAAATATAGAATTATTATTTTATTACCTTAAAAAAACACATATTTGTACAATTCACGTACTTTAAGAAGTTCTTCTCTCTGTTTTCTTCTACGTTCTATAATTGCCTCTTCATCTTCTTCTTCTTCTATATCAATATCTTTAATATCTTCTTCACTTGAGCTTTCTGAATGTTCCACTTTCAGCCCTTCCGATAAAGAGTCTTTGTATTTGTCATTACGCTCCCTTTTACCATTTTTTTCTCTATCTCTATCGTGGTCTCTGGTATGTTTCTCTCTTTCCCTTCTACTTCTAGATACTGATCTAGAAGTTTTGTACCGATCGTTACGATCTCTATCTAATCTAGCCCTGACAGGGCTACGAGATCTTCTAGTACTTCTTGAACGTTCTCTAATTCTTTCGCGATTTCGGTTATCTCGTATATCATTACGATCACGACTACCTCTACTTTCTCTGTGCCGTTCTCGACTCGCATGACGCTCTCTACTGTCTCTTTTATCACGGCTGTGTCTATCCTTGCTGGGAGGTCTTTCTCGACTGCGACGATCACGACTATTTGGTCGATCTCTACTAGTATGACGATCCCGACTGACATGACGATCTCTGCTAACATGCCGATCACGGCTTGCGTGTCGATCTCGACTAACCTGTCTATCCTTACTTACGTGTCGATCTCGACTGACATGGCGATCTCGACTACTCTGTCGTTCTCGATTTTCTAGTGATTTATAATCATTACGTGATCTAGAGTTATGATGATCTGAATCCCTTCGTCGGTCTTCTTCCCTGTAATTGTATTATGCATTAATGTATTGAATAATATCAAAATTCTTTTAATATTCAACGTACCGTCTATCCTGCTCTCTTTTACGCGACTCATCCTTCTTAATAGATTCTTTACGTTTATCATCTTCTGACCTTCTTTTACTATCTTCTTTACGGGACTCCTCCCTATGCCTGTCACTTATTTTTCGAGCTGGTCGATCATCTCTTCTGTTTTCTTCCCTCCTTAATTCATCTTTTGTACGTACCTTTTCCTCTCTTCTTCTATCAGAATCGCGTCTTTTATCTCCTTTATGCTCCTCTCGACTTCTACGATCTCTGCTCATATCTACAACAACACGCCTTTCAGGTTTCGTTATCTTTTTCCGTTCCCTGCTACCAGATTTACTCCTAGCCCGCTTTTTAGGGGGTATATTGTCGTTTTCACTGTCATCTTCTACAAGTATAACGTCAGGTGTTTCAGTAGCTTTTACTTCCTCCTGATCTGGTTCCTTCTCTTCTTTATCAGATTCATCTGAGAGATATTGTACTAAACATGCTTGCAACCGTTCCTGCATTAACAATAGAAGATAGTAGCAAAAATTTTTATAATCATATGTAAAATTGTAGAGTAAAAAATTATACCTTTTGTTTCATTAATTCTTCAAGATCAATATCATCTTCAATAATTGTACAATCAACCTCATCTGAATCTAAATCTATTAACTTTTCATCTTCACTTTCTTCTGTAGAAACAACCTCTAGCAGTGAATTTTTTACTTTGCCATTTATACCAACATCTTTTTGAACTGTTCTTGTTGGTTTCTCATCTAACGAACCATTTTCAACTTCCCTTTCTTTCTTAGGTCGTTTGTGTTTCTTATGCCTTTTCCTAAAATGTTGCAATTGATAGTCTTGTAGCGAGACATAACATAATAAATTAGATAACACACATACCTGTCTTGCCTTTCAATTTTCCCATCCTCTCTTTCAATTAATTTATCTTTCTTATGTTTATGGTGCTTATGTTTCCTTTTTTTCTTTTTTCTTTGGTCATTCAACATATCGGATTCAGAATCTATGCTCACAATATCTCTTTTACCATCTAAACATTCTAAGTCTGAAGTACTAAAATAAATTTGAATAATTAGTTATTATATAATAATAGACTTCCAAATTCGTTCAATTATTCAGCACAGTGCAATAAAGAATGAAATTTGATTTCCATAAACAGTTTATATCTTGGGATATAAATTACAAAGTATGCTAAACATTAATTAATATTAATGTTTTTATTGTTACTAGAAGGTAACAGATAACATAAATTTGATTCTAAAAATATGATATTTACATTAGTCTATACACTAACAATTAAATAGTATACATGACAAAGTACAAAGATTATAAAACACAAAAACTAGGTTATTTTTTCCAGTGAAAAGATATTAAAGAATATCGGGTAAATAAAAAATATTTTTACTGTAAATTTATTCAGCAGTCTTACATAAGGCCGGAAGAAAAAAAGACATTTTCTAACAGTGTATGAGATTTATTCCGAAAATAAACAGAGGATCACGTAAGTATATGCGATGTAAACATACTATCTTGCGCATCTTTCTGTGCATCGTAAAAAATAGTCGCTGAATCAATGCAACAATATTTACTAATATTTACTACTTACCCCATGATTAAAGATGCTAAATTATTGTTAAGAATAAAATTACAGAAGCACTGCACAAAACAACCACACGCATATATGAACTCTTTAATGGGCTGCCATCTTGTATGTTCGATCGTGTTATTTCGAGATATCTCGATAAGATATCGTACACGGTAAATATCGATATAAAAGGGTTGCTTCCGGTTTTCATATCCTTATACTTTAATTCGACAAAATTTCACATTAAATTTGTTTTCTTTTTGCAAACTTGTAGTACAATTTGTCCATTTTTTCTTTTAAGAATTAAATATATTATACTTCACTTAGTTTCACTTAAATACTATTTACCATTGCCATGCATTTTAAATATATTTTTCGAAATCCATTTACCCCAACAGTATCTACCGATATTTTTATCATTATTTCCAATTTAAAATTAATATCATCAATATTATTTCAACATTTATATAAACTTTAGAAAATATTTTCATTATGTCTATTAATGTAAACCCCCTCAATCTTCAAAAAAGAAAACAGTTTTATTTGAAATGATTAGACATCCAGTAATTAGAATAAAAATGAAAAAAGGTAGTCGAACGTATCAGAAAGAAATGAATCACTAGGGCCGTAGAATTTGCAATAATTTAATTCGCAAAAAATGTCTTACAGTATGTAACGCGGAGTATGCGACACGTCGTTGGTGAATTATTGTTGTTGTTCATGCACCTATATTTTGTTACGTCTCGGGACACCAACCACGCGTGGCATTGCTCCGTTCCGTATAATATTCTAGTCTTGTTGACCAGTCGCGTCGACACCGGCCGTTCAATGGCCGGCGCCAATCATTTAATAATTATTATAACGGTAATGATAACGAGTAACAATTAAATATACATTATATATTACGAATAAATACTAAAAGTAATCCTCGCAAACTCGGGTGAATAACTGAACGATGCTTTCCGCTCGCGATATATAAATACATATACAAAGGATGTGGGACTCGACGAGGTATCAAGGATTTGTGTGCAGGAGAGGATGGCGGACGAGGGGGGGATTCAAGTATTCTTAATCATTCCTAAATCACTTCTCACTCTTTCACGATCGACTATCACGTTGCTCGATCGTCAGAATATCGGGAGGGGGTTTCGGTTGATTTGTCATGACGATTCTTGACTGCATTTTTTCTAAGGAATCTCGAGAAAGTCCAGGACATTGTCGTCCAGAGTTCTGGCAGTTGGAAACTCGCGCGATGGACAGTATACTTCGATTCACTTCCGCTTAATAGTTGAGCTTAATAATTTATTTAACGATAATTTCATTCGAGAAAGAGAAAAAAATATATATATATATAGAAACGCAGCGAAGAAACTGTATACTGAAGCTTCACGACGGTGCCATCTACGATATAAAGTACGTAAATACGCGATCGGTAGTTAAAATACACGAAAATTTCGTTTTAAGAAGAAATGCACGTGTTACTCTCAAAGAAGCCATCATCGAAGATTCAAATACGGTTTCTTGGTTACGTTTAAAAGCGAAACGTCTCGAAGTGTACTCTCCATTCACGTCGAACTGCCCAATGACACGGTTTCTAGTAAAAAAGAACAGTTATTGTCTGGAGAATCAGGAGTACTAGGTAACGTACTCGAGTTTCTTTGAGTTGATTCACGATATGAGGAAGTCTTGGTCCGTCGACAGAACGAAAATAAAAGAAAAAAAAATATATATAACTCTACGTTGACTAGATTCTACACCCATCCAGTATCGACTCTTAGATTAAATCTAGTCGCTACGCGTCCGACTCTATAGAGAAACGGTTATGATAACGTCGCTATTATCCTTTTGTCGCGTTATCTAAGTATGATGTTCACGTGAGAGATCAACAATCGAAAATTAACGTTAGAAGCCGTAGAAAAATTCGCGGAAGAAGAAAATTGATAATCATTCACTGTTTAGAAGAAATTGTTTTCGATGGATGATTGTTGAAGCTGTTCCTTGTCGTTTTCTTTCATTGTCGCTTACGTCTGAAATGTTTCGTGGTCCTCAATAAAAAGGAGAACAAACGGGATCTGTTTCCTACTTTCTTCGCCGTTAAACCGTAAAAATGCTTATTCGAAGAGCTTCTTAGCGTAATGCCAAATGCGGAAGAAGTATTCGTCTTTCCTGAGAAGCCTCGCCCTCGCGTACGAGTGAATGTCGGCGTCCATGTTGTGCTCGCGGAGCCAAGAGCTCGTGTTTTCCGTGCTGAAGCTCACCGATGCTGTTTCACCCTTCTCGGTGGCCTCTGCGATTGGCTCTATTACTGATAATTCTGGAAAACGTGAGAATACAATAATTAATACAAGCTGTCATTAAAGAAATTTGTTTTGTTATACGGTAACAGTAAATAAAGATATTTCGTTAGAACTCTTCAATACAATGGCTGTCAAACTAACGTTCATTAAAATAAAACACTTTCTTAGTAAAATGGAAACTGAAGATTTCGTTATAACTTCATAACTCGAACGAAATTCGATTCACTTGATACATCAATAAAAACATTCATTTTTAATCCTATTACGTTCTTCCAGTCTTTTTTCACCTCATAAGGTTATCATATTTTTTTATCATCATTTGTTGGTTTAGCAATTTTCTGTTTAATCACATATTCATTTCTTTGAGCGTTTGAGAGCCAAGTGGTGCGATCGCGATTCTCCGTTACACTTTCTAACAGTGCCAACCTATTGGTTCGTAGAATCAAATTAAATTTATTTATCTATTTTCCTTCTAATTATTTATTTTCATTTCTGTTATTATCAGCTTGGGAATGAAAAAAACGAAACGTTCGCACTATTTAGAACTTTTTATGTAAAAATAGGAAAGCGTAATTCAGTTTCTGAATTAAAACGAAAGAAGCGCGATCGCGTCGTTTGGCTCTTTTCGACCGGATTTTCGCAAAAATTCGGCGAACTCAAATGGTTAAGGAAATATAGTTATTAGTGAACTTTTTTTCATACTTTTTCATAGTCACGTGGCTGTCAAAGTGTTACATTATTTTTTTTCAATAAAATTTAATGTGAATTTAAAGACATGGTTCGTACCGGAAGCGGGAAGAATATGGACGGGTTCATCAGATTCCAAAGGATCGCTAAGACCGATCTCGTTCCTCGCGTAGATCCTGATCAGGTACATATGATTCTCCTGGAGGTCCCTGATGTTCAGTTTCTGTACTTCGGCAGTTACTCTGCCAACCTCCATCCACATTGTCTTCTTCGCGTCCCTGATGGCGATTTTGTAACCCTCCAATGGCGCGCCACCGTCGCTTTCTGGTCTGCCCCAGGAAATCACTACCGTGTTCGCTGCGATTTGCCTGATCTCCAACGGTGCAGTCGGCGGTGATGGTACGGCTGCGAGAAATAATTTAATCATTGTATTTGATAATTCTCAGTCGATCGAAAAAGATAAAATAAAAGAAAGGCTGATACACACTGGCGTGTGTCTTCAGGGTAACTGGTTCAGAGTTCGTTGGTAAACTGAGCCCCTGGTTATTCTCTGCAAAGATTCTGAAGAGGAATTCGCTTTCTTTCAAATTTTCAACGCAATATTGAAGCGTTGTGGCGTCCAAAGTAACGACTTTCGTCCATCTTGCGCCTTTACCGATTAATGGCCTCTTCTCGATAACGTATCCTGTTTGAAAAATAAATGTTGATCTCATTTCTTGAAATAGCAGAAAGATCATAATGTTCAGATAATGAAAGTAAGAAACTTTTAGAGAATCAATCGATCAGTTTACAACAGAAAATTGTATTAATTTAAATAAACACTGCGAAAATGGGGAGTTTGTTTAAATATTTATGGATTCTATACCCTTTTGACTATTGAATTATGCTTGTTTAGATGCTTAAATTATGCAGTGCTTCATATGATGTTAAGAATTTCTAATAAAATAAATGAATAATAATAATCGGAAATTTTAACAAAATTTAAAACTTGCCTGTGAGTTCTGTGCCGCCATTGCTGGCAGGTGGTGCCCAGCTCAAAGTGACACTCTTGCTGGTAACGTTCGTCACTTGCACATTCTTTGGGCTCGATGGTGGTGCTGAAAACGATTCAATTTTGTAAATGAAGGGTGAAAAAGGATTGGTACTGAAAAGCGTAGAACATAGTCTCGACTCACTTTTACTAATAACCATTTTCGTTGGTGGAAATATGCCCAGCAAAGCGTACATGTTGTTTTCGGTGAGCTTTGTAATTTCTAAGCAACAGTTAAGGCGTAAGCATTGAATAAGCAAGGCTTTTAATTGCAGATTGACACGGGACCAATCCATTAAACGATATTAGACAGCGACAAAAATTATGAAAATTATTTAAACTGAAGCCGATTATGCTGATGCAAAAATATTATGCCTAGACATTGTTAATATTAGTAAAGCATAGTGAAAATTTGGCTGGTCTTAAATAATAAAGAAGCCAATTAATAATCCACTATTTTTGTGCATATTCTCTTAAAAGAAAACAATAAACTCAAGTAATATTTGTTACTATTTTTCAACACTCTACAGTGTATTTCTGAGAAATAATTGAAAAAGTTACTTAATCTTTTACAATTTTATATTATTGCTTCATTACAGAAGCAGTGGATTATTTATTCGTGAGTATAATATTATGGTTCTGTATCTATATTTTCATATTATTAGATTGTTGATTTGATGTAATTTGAATAAATAACAAATTAATAAATAAATACCAATAAAACATGAAACTCGATAAAAATGGTGAAACATAATGAAATCTCTAATAAATAAACGGTTCCTGAATTCCTACTTCTAAAAATTATGAAATAAAGATCCACAGATTCTGTTAATTGCATTAGATCAGCGTTAAAAAATAATTTGCATCGAGTATGAATAATATAAATAATTTATTTTGCTCACTGGGTCGTTTGCCGGGTGTGATCGGTTCTTCGGCTACGTAAGGAGGACTGGTGCCAACACTGTTTTTCGCTGTTATCCTGAAGTTGTACGGCACATCTGTTTTCAAGTCTGACACGATTAAGTGGGTTACCTCGTATTTAGTAGTGCCAATCTGTAAATAACAAATCTGTATAAGTATTTCATTGTTAAATCTTTTTTCCTGAAACAAATTTAGTTCGTCTCAATAACCTTCTGCCAAGCCTTCTTCGATTCTTCTTTCATCTCGACGATATATTCCGTGATCGGCGTTCCGCCATCGTTCTCCGGAGGCTGCCATTTTATCGTGAACGATGTCTTCGTCATTCCTGACACTTCTAGCGGTCCTCTTGGTGGCCCCGGTGGCTCTGCGAATACGTTCATCATGAAATGATTTATTTCATTTATTTATTCTCGTTTAGTTACATCTGCTCTCTAGATTATTTTTCTTAATTTCTATATCAAAAAGTCTATTTCTTATTAATATTCATATGAAGTTAAATTAAAATTAACTTGAGGCACAGGAAAAAGTTCGTACGGTTTTCTTGTTGGCAGTGAATTGAGATTCGATTTCAATTAGTATTTCACTAGTTTAATGAATGAAATTGGTATTAGCAACAAATTATGTTTATGTTGATATCAAATAAAATAGAATTACTTGACGTTCTCCGTGTTTCAATTTTGATTTAAAAACCCGTACGAACTTTTTCCTGTACCTCATATTTGAATAATTTTTAAAGTCTTACAGTTACCATAGAAAATATCACACAAATATCAACTTTCATAAGCTAATGTGTAGAAATTAAAATAAGCGAAGAGTTCGTTGACTGATAGATACCTTATGATAAACATACTCTAGCAATGTCTTTAATAATTAACTCTTGATTTATGAGTCAATTTGACTCATATTGAATTTTGTAAACATTATTTGATAAATATTTTGGTTGATTTCAATTGATGTGAAGTTCTAAGATCTAAATAAACGAATGTCAATTTTTTTAAGAACGATAGAACGGACTGTACAGCAAATGTCCGTAAATCTAATGTCAATATAAACGTCTTATTGCATTTTGCAAATTTACGGCATAAATACATAAAGATCCAGTCTATTTATATCTATAACAAGAAGCAAGATAATTGTTATTCATTATACCGAAGGAAGTTCTCATCTTGACAGTGTCCGATTCCAATGGTTCCGATGCTCCGACAATGTTCCTCGCAATAATCCTAAACTTGTATTCTGCATCTTGTTGCAGTTTGTGCACGCAGAAGCTTTCAACCTCCTTATCGATGTCGACCACTTTGACCCAGGCTTTACCCGGCTCGCACTTTTCGATGGTGTACTTTTCAAGCTCAATACCGCCGTCGTCGGCTGGTGGCCGCCATTCGAGTGTAACGCGGTCTTGCCTGATTTCTTTGAAGACAATTGGTCCTTGTGGTTTGCTCGGTTTGTCTAAAACATTTGAAAAGTGAACGTGAAAATGGTAACGATCTTACAAGAAAAGGGCCAGACATAAGAATGAGTGCTAGATATGTATTATAACATGCATAGGGTTTCAGTCAAACACAGATTTTTATATTTGGCTCTCTCTTTGTTACAGATTCAACTTTCGAAATTTAAACCTCTTATTTTATTATTTTTATTATCAATTTTGTATCAATTATTCATTTTTTATTATCCCCATTGTTAATGATGTACCAGTTATTTATTTGTCATTATCCTATTACTAATTTTTTTATTACACCTGTCATTAATTATAATATTATATCTATTATGAATTTTTATTTAATTACAGGTTTAAGTAATAGTAAGATTTTTTAGGAACATACCGATTACTCGAAGATGTAGATCAACCGAGGAACTGCCAGCTTGATTGCTCGCTTTTACCGTGTAAGTAGCAGTGTCCTCTCTGATAAGGGAAGCAATAAGAATGGTAGAAGTCCTCTCCTCGGTCTGAATAGAAACGTGTTTGTCGACGATCTTCTTGCTGTTCTTCGACCACGTTACTTCCGGTTTCGGGAAGCCGCTGGTTTGCACTTCGATCTTCCATTGGTTGTTCACAGGTAGATTCTGGCTTGCCAAGGTTTCGTCGTAGTTGATCTTCGGTGGTTCTTGCACCTTCAGTTCGCACGTTGTTTCTGCTGTTCCGAGATTGTTCTTCGCTTTCACTGTGAACGTTGCTGACGAAGTTTCCGTTGTTTTCGTGATGGTGTACTTCGCCATGCGGTTCTCGTACGTGATGGCACTGTCTTCAAAGGTTTCACCATTTCTCAACCTAAAAATAATGATTAATAATAGCTATTATGCTATTAAGAAGTGATATTAATCCTTTACACTCGAGAGGTAACTCTCAGTTACCATTTGATTTGATATAACAAAATTACAAAATGTTATATATAACATTAAGTTTTGTATAATGCATCAATATGTGAAATATTTATATAAAATAGCTTTTCTCTGAATTTATGTATGTTTTCTCATTAGATAGCTTCAAAGAATGTCGTCTATGTCTCATCGGATAGCGTTGAATGTTTCTAGTGAAAAGCTTTTAGTACGAAGGGTTAAAATAATATTTTACTGAATCTTTAAGATAGAATTAAACAAAAATTTGTACCAAGTGATGTCCGGAGTTGGCGTTCCACCAATGATGCACGAAAGTGTAACAGTTTCGTTTAGCCTTGCAATGACACTCTTCAGTGGTTCCAGCACGACTGGTGGTTCCGTGGCCGATGGTTTTGATATTTTTATGTATGGAGACGTTGGTGATATGTCACCTGGACCAGCTTCGTTTACTGCAGTCACGCGGAAGGTGTACTCGTTGTTGGTGATTAATTTTGTTACTTTGTGAGTTGTCTCTACTATCTTTTCTGTAATTTTGGTCCACCTACAAACAAAAATTGTGACAATTAATTATGCCCATTTCACAAAATGAATCAATAACATTAATAATATTCTGATCGTTTATTTTATAAAATAAAATAATTCATGAATAACATCTGATAACACGATTATAAAAATTGATATAATATTTTTAAATCCCGTATTCAACATGAAATAACATCAAAATGGAAGATTACAGTTCAAGTTTGATACAATCAAACAACTGGATGGAAATATTAATTTTTAATAAACAAAAAAAATAAGGTACTTACGAAGTTTCAGTCTTCTCTTGGTGTTCAAGAATGTATTCGATGATAGGTGAGTTACCGTCTGAATCTGGTTTCTTCCAATGAAGCGTAACACTGTCAGTGGTGATTTCGAGTGGTTCTGGTGCTCCTGGTGCACTCGGTACATCTGTTGCAATAATATAATAATGTGAAATTAAATTATGGTTAAAGTAGGATTTAAAATTCAGTTTGTTTAAGTGATCAACTGTACTTTGTGAATATTTTTAAATTTCAGTACTAAAACACTCTGTGTATACATATCATCAAATTTTTCTACTTTCCATTTTATACAGTTAATTATTTTAATTACAAATTGACAAATTAAAAGCTCTTATCCGATTTTATTTTATTTTAATTGGAAAGGACAAAAAGTCTTTATTAGCACGATACTCACGCACTATGACGACGCTGATTTCGATACTTGTCTCGCCGACTTGGTTCGACAATTTCAAGGTGTAGTTGCCGACTTCTTCTTCTTGGATCTTCCTGATGGTCAGGCTCGCGCATTCCTCGTCGAGCGATGGTACCACTCGTTTCGATTTTGTAACTACAGTACCGTTCACCGTCCATTCGTCGCTCGGTTTCGGGGTTCCAGTGAATTTCACGACGATCTCGACGTCCTCGCCCTCTCTGACTTTGTATTTCGTCGGTGTGTCTGGACTGATCTTTGGTGGCGTTTCGATGACTGAAAATGTTTCCAATAATAATTGATTAATCATTTATCGGTCAATAAACTTTTCGTACACTTATTATTAATATTTTAATATTAGAATATTAGAATCTAACTTTGAATTTTATTGAATTTTTACAAAATTGAATCTTGTTGGATCTTTTAATTAAATTAAGATAATGTCTATCGAATTATACCTTCAACTCTCAATTTCGATGATGTCTTTACGTTGGTAACCACAGCTGTGTATTCCGAGATGTCTTCGATCGTGCACTTCTTGACAATTAATTTCTTTACGGTACCCTCATCGATAATAGTATATTTCGATGATTCCTTGATGACCTCCGTTTTTCTGTGAAACACGAGGAATTTATAAAATTTGCGTTAGTGATTTATACATTATTCTTTGAAGTTAAATATAAGTTAGTGATTATAATAAAAAAAATATTATTATTACATTAAAAAATAAAGCTAAATTAAATTGAAAGAAATCAAACTAGATCAAATTAAATCGAATTAGATAAAACAAAATAATTTAAATCAAACTAGATAAAGTAAATAAAATTAAATTAAATAGAATTAAATTAAGCTAATTTAAACTGTTTTCTTACTTATGCCATGTGACCGGCACGTTTTGAGACAGTTCGATGGTGAAAACTGCATCAGCATTCAACGGTACCAAGGTCACATCCGGTAACTTTGTGATGAAGTCCACTCCAGGTTCTTCTACAGTCAACCTGGCCGACGAAGTCTGTTTTCCGACTTCGCAAGAGTATACTGCCGCGTCTTCTGGTTCTGTGTCATAGATCTTGAGCTTCTGTCTTTTACCATCGATGGACAATTGTACATGCTCGGAGAATTGCAATTCTTGACCGTCTTTGAACCATCGAATCAGGGCGTCCCCTTTCGTCACCTCGATTTCGAAAGTTGCTCTCTCACCTCTCGCTATGGTCACATCTTGCATCTTCGTAATGATTTCTGGTGGTAATTCTAGAATAATTGGAAGAAACATTTGTTTTTCACAATGCAAATATAATAGTATGAAAACTTGTGTTTATACTATAAATCTTCCTAAACCGATTTGACGAAATAGAAATCATACGGAAGATTATCTTTTCTATTAAGACTGTCAAGTTAAAATTAAAATTAGAATTGGGCTATGAATATTTTGTAACTTTCTTTAGATCCTATCGTAAAATTTTATTTAACTATAGAATATTATTACGTGAAATTCATAGGATAATTATAAAAAGTTTCATATCGTTATGATCTACTGTACAGATTTAACAGTTTTAAAAGATTTTATCGAAAAATTAATTTATTCAAGAAGACTGAAATGTTTTGTTAATATTGTGGAAATATAGAATCGTATTTAATAAAATTCGTTTTAAGGAAGTTTCTATTTATCTTTAAGAAAAAGTTTAAGCTTACCGATAACGGTGACCTCTGCTGAGCATGTTTCGTCCATGAGGGTGCAAGAGTATTCACCTTCATCGTGCACAGACGTGCTTCTGATCAGCAACTTTCTCACAGTGCCATCTTTCACGAAATCCAACTTCTCCTTGCTCGGTCCCAATGGTTCTCCATCTTTGAACCATTTAACGTCGGCCGACTGGGATGTAATCTCGACCTCCAGGATGGCGACATCCCGTTCCTTCACCTCGCAGTCTTGTAGTTTCTTCACGAATTCTGGTTTAGTGGCTGTACAAACAAACGAAATTTTAAATTACTCATTAAGAACATATATTATGTTTAAGAACTGAAAATTGCTACAACACTAAAACAATTTTTTCAGCTTATAAAGAACAGTAAAAAAAAACATTTTATTTGTCGATAGCACGATACGACCATTAGAAATTTTAATCAAAGAATGATTTTCACCTTTCACCGTGACATTGCTGGCCGTTGATTGATTTTTAACAGTACACTCGTAAAAACCTTCGTCCGTGGGACTCGTTTTCTTGATCACCAACTTGTGCACGTGACCTTCTTGAATGATCTCGCGGTGGTCCATACCGCTGACCTCTTTGTGGTTGTGCCACCATTTTGTCGATACCGTGTGAGACGTTTCGCAGGTCAATTCCAGAGTCTTGTACTCGTCGACGATGACTTCTTTCTCCAGTTCCTTCGTGAACGTCACTTTGTCGACGTCCACCGTTACCCTCGCACCGTGCGAAGCCTTTCCGACAGGATTGCTGGCGATACACTTGTAATCTCCGGCGTCCACCTCCGAATTTGCATTTCGAATTTCGAGTACAATATTCTCGCCGTCGTAGCTTTCCATGATATTCGGTGACTTCTCCAGAGGCAAGTTGTTTCTATGGATAATAATAGTTTACTTGAAAATATCGTTACTTCAGGTACCTAATTTAACTGGATCAACACAATTTTTTTCAAGCGAAGTTTGTGAAGTTTTAAATGTTATAAATATTTCTACAACAATAAGATAGGGTATTATTATTCCATATTTGTGTTGTTTCACGTTATGTTGTTCAAATTTATGTAGTTCAGAAAATTTCAGTAAACAAGTATACCTTAACCACGTGACTTCCGGTACAGGATTTCCGGTGACCTTCGCCACCAGCCTGAAGGTACCTTTTTCTGGAACGGTAAGTTCTTGGAACCGTTCCGTGAAGAGTGGCGGTTCGGGAGCTCCGGTTGGTATTTCTATAAATAATGAAACGTGTTCTATATTTCGCACGAATTAAATAATTTCCATCACCAATACGTTGAAAATGAATACGTAATATTGAAAACATATATATAAATAAATTGATGCAAGCAAAAGCAGAAGCATATCCTACCCTTGGTCACAGTGTAGTGTTCGTACACGTGTTGCTGAATGTTAATGCCTAGCGAAGGCTTCAAGTTTACTGAAAAATACACCAGCGAAGCATTTTGCGATATTAATAGAAGCACTATACGAAATTCATTAATATTTTTTAGCGGGAGATTTCTTCTAAGCGAAACGTGGGAAACAATTTTCTATTTCGCTGAGTATACGACTACAGTTTTCAATAAAACTAACATTCTAAACTATGACTAATGACTAATGACCAGTGACTAATGACTAGTGAAAATATTCAAGATTTAACAAACTGGTAACTAGATTGCAGATGTTTATGTCAAATACATTTATCTTGGTGTAATTTACGAAATCTAGATTAAAATAAGAATTGACATTTTATGTTAATAATTGTAATATGTTAACATTGAGGAAAAGTCCTTGTTAAATGTAATTGCATTTTACATTTCATATTATTGAAAAATTACCACTTTTTCCATAAACTATTTTGATAGGTTACTAGGATTTTTAAATAAAACAAATTTGCATAAATGTCCGCAGTCCAATTACGTAGATGAGTTAATGTAAAATACGAATGCACGTTTACGTTCTACCAAAAAAGTTCATGAATCATGGGAACTGAACTCAACGAAATACTTACTTTCGACTGTCAACGTGGCTTTCGTCTCCACTGTGCCTAGATCATTGGTAGCCACCACTGAATAATCACCGCTGTCTGACACTTGGGGTTGAATCAGTGTCAGAGTGTTCACGTGGCCATCTTGTTTCGGCGTCAAGCCCTTCAATGGCTTGCCATTCTTGTACCAAGTGACTTTAGGTGCTGGGTTTCCGACAATTTGAGTAGACAACACTACTGTCTCGCCTTCTCTGACTACGTAAGATTGAAGGGGTTCTAGAATCTCCGGTGGTTCTTGTTTACCGGTCTTCACCTGTATAAAACATTAATATTTAGGGGATACGATTATAATACTTAATCCTGAGTACATGTATGTCATGCTGGAGATGACAATAAAAATTTGTTATAGAACGTTGGAAATTGTTCGACAATGTAGCATACTTTAAAAGATTATAAAAATTAAATTTTATTATAATAATAATAAATAGAAGAAATATAAATCGTTGAATTCATTACAAATAAATTGAGTGCAAAGAGTTAAATAATATTACTATATATAGTAATTAATAAAGTATTACTATATAATAATTAATAGTATTACCATTATAATATGATATTATATATAATTTCTGTTTCATTTTGAATACTCATTGTTATATTTGGAAATCAATCAATTAGTAAAATTGATCTTTAACAAATTAAAGATCAGAATTCAAATTTTGATTTTTAGTATTTTTCGATGTATCAATAATCTTTCAATGTTGATTAAATCCTGTAGCTGTTTTAGCAATCTTCACTCTTCCCTACCGAGTATTTATCGACTTATTAATAAAAAAAGATAAAACAAATATTTCGCTCATTTTATACTATACAACATTATTGTGACAATTGTTACGTTCAATTTATCCTTTTATATGTTAATATTTTATAGATTATCTACAAACCTTCATAGGAATCTCGATGGTGGCTTCACCTTCCCTGTTCTTAGCGACGATGGTATACTTCCCTTCTTGTTTTTTCTGCACCTTGGTAATCTTAATTACGCTGCAGTACATGTGCATATCACTCTCCGTCGCGACAATAATGTTCTGTTTAGTTGTGATTTGTTTGTCCTTGTAATACCACGTTATTTCAGGCTCCGGTACTGCTACCAGGCGACATTCTAGTATCACGTCGTCACCCTCGTTCACGTATTTTGCTTTTGGTTTGCGAGAGAATGTGGGTGGTATTCCTTCCAAGATGTCGGCCAAGGATGATTCTCTGCGAATTCAATTTCGATTCATTTAATGAAAAACTCACATAATATTCGTTTATATTTCATAAATTAAATCAGATACATTTGTAGCTACATATAAAAATGTAAATATTAACTTCTTAGAAACCAAATTTTTAACCACTGAATTTATGTATTCTGTTTTTAGCAGCTAAAATAATTTTGATCGATTTGTAGATCTACATTCCCCCCTCATAAAAGAAAGAAGAAGGCCATAAAAAGTAATGGCAAATATTTCGAATTTACCAAATAAAGTTTCAAACCTACCTCGATAGGCTCTTTCTGGATGGTCCAGTTAGATCTGATCCATGGTCAGACAAAGGTGCTTCCACGATCAGTTCCGTGGTGCTGGACGCAAATCCTGCAGCGTTCTTTGCTACACAGGTGAAGGTCCCGGCGTCTTCGGGGAACACTTCTCGGATGATCAGAGTGGCGACATTGTCTTCGTCGTAATACATTTGGAAGTCAGGGGACGGCTTGATGATGGCGGTCTGTCGGAACCACGTTATCTGCGGCCGCGGTAAACCTTCTACTTGACACTCGAATTGAACGGTATAGCCATCCGGCGTGTGAATTGGTTGCAGTTTCTCGATGAACCTTGGCGCTGATGATTTTTCGCCGGGCAAGGGTTCTGTGTCATTAGAAAATGTATATTAGTCATAATTGTATTCGAATATTATATTAATAAAATATTATTTATTAAAGTATTTTAATATTATTTTAATAAAATATTAGCTACGAAGGTATTTCAATGTTATTTATATAAATTATATTTGTGATATAAGTTTTTATTTTGGTTTTTTTAAATGAAGTTAGCCATATAATTGATGAAAAGCTTTTCTCATTAAAAAGCATTTGCTTTGATATCTTCAGAAGCATATATTTCGAATATTTTCATAACACAATGGCTCGATAAAATGTATTATTATTTTACTATAGAATTTTTTACTATAGAACTAAAAAATAAAAGTTTACGTGTAGAATATAAATGAGCTTACTTTCGAATACTGGTAATTTGTCGATCTTCTCGTGCAATTTGCGTTGCAAATAGAGCGTGTAATGTACTTCGTTAAGCAGGTACTGGGCTGGAACCCATCCTTTCTCTTCTGTCAGATGTTTCTTCACGAACCACCAGTCCTGATTGGTATGATCTGTAAAAATATAACGTGTGCAGTCATTTTCATGCATACACTGAGATAGAATCAAACAATAAATAATAACTTGAAATACTTCTAAACGTACCAATAACGTAAACCCTTTCTCCTTCAACGAGGTTAATGGCTTCATCAGTTTCTGCCACGTACGAGCAAATGGAGAACATAATGTCGCCATCGCGGACAACGTACTCGATTTCTTCTACAAAATCCCACGAGTCGCGTAAGGCACAAAGTTGAAGTTACAATATACTAAGAATAAGGAAATAAGAAATAAAATATGCATACCTTCTTCCGAAATGTCTTCCTCCCTGGTGATACTAAGCGTGGCCTCTTCTACAACGTTACAGACAACCAAGTAAGTATTCAATGTCAACAAGAAGAAAATCCGTTTAATAAATAACAACAATAATCACGATAGATCGTAGAACATAGAATTGAAGTTTTCGATGAGATTCTGCGTTCGACGTGTTATGCGCATAAGATTGAAGCGAATCGAACTAACCGCTTTAGCGTCGCCGTATCTGTAATCAAGCTATTTAGCTTTGCCTCCTATTTAGTTTCGCTTGCTATTTTCATTGGCATCTGTAGTATGTTATACGGTGCACCGGTATGCTTTTCATTCGCAGTGGATTAAGAAGCTTAGGGATCGGGAGAAGAATCTTTCGTCTTGGAGGTGGAAGGATAATTAATGGGGCGCGATTAATACTCACTGCTGATCGACATGTCTTGCGAGCAACGTTAATGTCTAATTTCTAGCTGAAAGCATGTTACCGTCAGATTAAATTTGTTATCAGCGTGAAGCGAGAATCGTGAAATCGTTCGCGGCGAACCTTCGTCGTATGTGGACACGCGTCTCTTGCTCTTCAATTTTAACTCCAGCGACTCGTCGGTCTCCTCGACCGAGTACTTCCTGTCGCGTTTCAACTTCAACATGACATCGCCTTCCTCGATGTCTTCGACCTTGTACGGTTTGACCACTTTCTTCTTCTTTCTTCTCAGTGGTAGGTTCAACTCGTCCGTCTCCAATTCCTCGATGCTGTACTCGTCCTTGGCCTCTTCGTCCGATTCGTCTATGATCTCTTCAACAATTGGACCTGAGTCGTCTTCTATTTCCTTGAGGATTCTGATCGTTTCTTCTCCAGTTTCTTCCGAGTACGTCATCGGCCGTTTCTTCGGCTTCAGTCGGACTTTACCGGACATCGAGATGTCTTCCTCCTCGTACGTGTTCAAGGAGATCTTGAACTCTTGTTCTACATCCTCTTTGGTCTTGGTACTGCGCGGCCTGAATGTCACGTTCTCTGCTTCGGTCACTTCTTTGATGTCTGGCCTGGGTTTCTTCTTTGGTCGTAACTTTCGAAGAGTGACGTCTTCGCAAATTTCTTCGACCAGTTTAGGTGGTAGTTTTGGTGGTTTACGTTTGAAGGTGAATTCGTGGACTTCTTCCTCCTCTGGTTGCTCGATTTCTTCGACCTTTTTAATAGTGAGCTCATCGGCTGCCACTTCTTCGATCTTTCGTGGCGTTTTCTTCTTCTTGAGCTGAACATCGGATGATACTTCTTCTTCTTCGACAGGCTTTTCCGGAGCGCGTGTTTTCTTCAGGGTCACTGAAGTTTCTTCGATTTCTTCAGTGACCGATGGTCGTTTCTCGGGTTTCTTCTTTTTCTTGATGGTGACCTCTTCAGGCGTTTCTTCTGCTTCAGTGGGTACCAGTTTCTTGATGGTTACTTCGGCAGCTTCTTCTTCGACGACCGGTTTCTTCTTTGGTTTCTTCTTCAAAGTCACTTCAGCTTCCTCCGGTTTCTTTTCTTCTTCGGCTGGTTTGGGCTTCGTCAGAGTGACTTCAGCGACTTCCTCTTCCTCTTCTTTTGGTATGGACTTCTTTTTCTTCGGTTTCAGAGTAACTTCCACCGGGGCTTCTTCTTCTACCTTTTCTTCTACGACAACCTTTTTGATTGTCACTTCGTCGGCAACTTCCTCTACCACAGGTTTCTTCTTCTTTGGTTTCTTTATTTCTACTTTCTCGGTTGTTTCTTCTGGTGATTTTTCTTTTTCCTTTGGCACTGGCTTCTTTAAGGTAACTTCCTCTGCTACTTCTTCTGGAACCGGTTTCTCCTTTGGTTTCTTCTTCTTTAAGGTGACTTCTTCCGGAACTTCTTCCTCCTTCTTTTCTTCCACCACGACTTTCTTAATTGTAACTTCATCAGCGGCCTCTTCCACCACCGGTTTCTTCTTCTTTGGTTTCTTCAATTCAACTTCTTCCGTCACTTCTTCCGGAACTTTGATCTTCTCTTCCGGTACAGGTTTCTTCAATGTAACTTCTTCCGTCACTTCTTCTGGAACCGGTTTCTCCTTTGGCTTCTTCTTTTTCAAGGTAACTTCTTCCGGAGCTTCTTCTTCTTTCTTTTCTTCAACCACGACCTTTTTGATTGTAACTTCGTCAGCAGCTTCTTCCACAACAGGCTTCTTTTTCTTTGGTTTCTTTAATTCTACGTCTTCCCTCACTTCTTCTGGAACTTTTACCTTTTCTTCCGGTTCTGGTTTCTTTAATGTAACTTCTTCTGTGACTTCTTCTGGAACCGGTTTCTCCTTTGGTTTCTTCTTCTTTAAGGTGACTTGTTCCGGAACTTCTTCCTCCTTCTTTTCTTCAATCACAACCTTTTTGATTGTAACTTCGTCGGCGGCCTCTTCCACCACCGGTTTCTTCTTCTTTGGTTTCTTCAATTCAACTTCTTCCGTCACTTCTTCCGGAACTTTGATCTTTTCTTCCGGTTCTGGTTTC